TTATTATTAGCAATGTTCTTCCGACGTCTGATTTCTTTTTAAAAAATGCGTTCCTAAAGTGCATAAACTTTCGGGATTGATTGTATAGCCAATACATCCTTAATTCATTACACGTTCAATTAATATTGTTTTCTGTCCGATTGATAAAAACAGTTTCTTTGTTTATTAAATATATCTTAGCACGATATTTTCTCGATCGCAGAAGCTAATAAACTATCTAGATAGGGCATACATATCTCACATATATCATACGTTGACTTTTCATTATTTGTGTAAAATATGTAGCAATCAAGCGATAGAGCATTAGGTAGCAACGTGGTAATAGTTAAAATGATTCTTTCAGCAATTCATTTGCTCTTATTTACAAGTGCTCCCACACTGATGTACTGCCAATTCGCCTGTAAACGATCATTGTTAATTTTATTAAAGACAAACATTTCAATGTTCGATCGACTCACCCCTATGCCGGTAGCCCAACCAGTTCCAGCTGGATTCTCATCGGTAATACCTATTCTACGGCAAAGTATACCAGACCCCGAAATGGCCCACACTTGGCCCGGTTCTCTCGCAACGGAAACTTGACGAAAGCCCTGCTTCGCATTAACTACAGACATATCTGGAATGAATGAAAGAAGATTACCTACGTCACAATGAATACTATAAGCAACAGGAAACACATAAACTCGTGAACAAATTAAGCAAATCACTATGTTTTAGAATACGCCAAGTGGCAATCGTACACCTAAAGTATACCTATAGAACAAGGTTCAGAGAGTGTATCTAAATTAACGGATCCTATAACAGCGTTTCCCAACGCGGAGCTCGTTTTTAGGGGCACTCTGCATAGTTTTCCAAGAAACGTAGCCTTTTTGGGGTGCTTCGTATAGTTTTCAGGGATTTCTGTAGAAAAAATTAAACAAGTATCCGATGAAATACCTTCTATCGCATCGAGAAAACACGCAATCGTTATCTAACTATGCTACTAAAGCCCACGCAAACTTCTTAATATGTCACGTATTAGTAAAAAAATTTGGCCAACTAATCGAATCGCAGAGGTGACGCTTGGAATGTGCAGGGTTGGGAAACGCTGTCGATGCAATCTAACGAATACCTATGTGTATAGGATCGTTGGGCATCACTGGAAGAGTTTGCCAATGCGTTCCCTCCGGGAAAACGTTCAACTGGACTTCTCGGCGCACATGTAGCTTGCCTGACGTATCCAGAGCCCAGACTACGTCCTTCCCGACGGAGATGTATTTTAAATGAGCGTTTGTCGGCGGTTCAACGTTTTGCCATTGCACTCCTGAAGATTGAACCGATGTTACAGTCGGACCTTAAGCAGAAATTCACGCGTAATTCGTACCTGTAGGTTTCGCAGGAGTAATACCTAATCTCCAGTAAGAAGAACCGTTTCTTCCAACAGCCCACACTTGCCCTGTTGGACCGCATGAAATACTGACTAGAGCTTGGTCGCTCGGGATGTGTTCCCACGAAACTCCCTGCAGATATAAATGTGAAATAACATTTGTTTTTACAATGTAAGAAATGTTATATCGTGTGTAAGTACCACTGGACAAGATTCTGAAACTCCTCTCCTGAACAAAGCTTCGCCGTTGGTAGCTACCGCCCATATGTACACGGGAGCATCCGTACCGGGTTTCCCAGTCCCCTAAAAGTAATATACATGTTACTACACTGTCTTGTTCAAGAGACATATGCGTGTCTTACATATAAAGAGACATCAAGTAATTTTGTGTTTCCCAATTCTTGCCATGGTCCGGAGGTGGTCAATTGACATCTACGAAACCACCGTCTTCTCCTAACGTAATCCGTAAATTGTTTTTTACCGTGATACTGGAAAGGAAAATCGGTGGCGTATTGCCAGCCGTCTCTGTCGACACCTCCAGGTGTGTGGAAATCTACTATCCAATCTGACACCTGATACGGAATAAGATGCTTTGGTACGAATCATTATATGATACGATAAAAATAGTTTCTATTATTCTTACCCAATGCCAGTGCATAGACAATAACTTGGTGAGTTCCCGAGTGCGTTTTTGACGACCAGTAGCATCGCTCCACATGTAACGATCCGTTGGAAGACCATGAGACGTGTATCCGGTTACCGGATTCCAGCGCTGATTCTCATAGACATAATAATTGTGAGTGTCCGTCATTGTGTTTATTCCTGTATTACTACCCAATCCTAGAAAAACGTAGTAATCGATATCTTCTCTGTCAAGCGTGAGATCTTGGTGGTGTTACCTTTTAAGAATGAACCGCCCCATCCACCGGTATATACTCTCGCCGTACTGTCGTAGCCTATTCCCCACGTTACACCAACAGCACAAGTTTCAACTTTCTTTAAATGACCACCCATTTGTCGCCAGAACATCGTGATCGGGTCAATGATTATCTATATAAAAATTTGTATTGTAATCAAGTTACGTAAAGACGTTATCGATATCGACATAAAGAAAAATCACGTACAGACGGCGACTTGTAAAGTATGCCACATAATGTCATCAATCCTTTGATTCGTAAATGAGTAATACTTTGCGGTAATATTCTGTGACTATAAAAAACAAATTCCGTATCATCGATATAAATTCTGTATCCTCTTGTTTCGCAAACAATTTCTAACGTGAGATCAGAGCCAGGTTTTAACGGGCTACCCCCATTCCTCTCTTCATCGCCCCACTGACCGTTCTGATATGTGTTTCGTACGATTATATTCTCTTTTAATCGCGGATTAAAGTGCAACGCCACATCGTGACTCTCCATCACAGACTTTTGTTTTACGTTTGACATCGTCGAGTAACAAACGAGATTAAACGAAAGCCTGTAAAACAAACAATAAAGCCTTAAATAGATATTAAAGCCTTTTATAATAATTTTCTATGCCATTTTCTGGGAATATCCTTCTTTTACCTCTCGGCATCGTCGTGAATGCAGACCGTAATTTTTAAGGAACTACCACATCCGAAACCGTTCTGTAATATACATTCATAGGGTACTTCTTTTCCTGCAACGTCTAATTCTTGGACGTAAGCACCATTGATGTATTGACTTTCCTGTATGAGATTTGCGTTAATGATATAAGATACCAATTTGCTAGCAAGTACTAACTTACTTCTGTAGCAGCGGGATCGTATACATACACGTCTCCCAACGCGGTCGTAGTCCAAATTGAACTGGGTCCCGGTCTTCCGTAAACGTTATTCAATTGACAAGATACTAAAAGTGTTAAAAAATACTTAGATCGGACTAATCATTATGCGATATAAATGCGAACACACCTGAAGTTAAATGAGCTAACCAGTCTTCCATGTCACTGTCACTGGAAAACTGCAATCTAACGACTTTAGAACGAGGCATTCGGGGAGTATGAATGGCTATTCGCGGATTACCTGGTTCGCTACAGCATACCACAGACATGATCTCGGACACAGAAAATTGCAACTGAAAAGGACGTTGATGAGCAAACAACGAAATAACAAATTGCATCCCATAATATTTAACTTACAATTGTTGTCGCTCCGTCTGAATTTAAAATAGTAAAAATTCCGGAATCTAAGGAACCACTGTCACTACTAATCCATTCTAATTCAATGATGCAATCATCGTACGAGATGCTCCCTTTAACTTTACACTTTGCGTCGCCGTTCTTCACCCAAGACGACCTGTAATTATGATTAAAAGTAAAACTTAAACGTGCTAAATGATTATGATTAAAAATAAAACATAAAAATGCTGAAGTTATATTCATACTCACTTTTCGACTACTTTCTCGTATTTTACCGGCTCGAATTGAACATTTTTCAATCTCTTCTTCAATTCTTCTAAAATGTACATCCTCCACGGTTCGCCTATATCTCCGTGACTTCCACCGTTCATATCCGCAATCCTGCAAATTTCAATCAAGCGTAATTAGAAGTAATTACAACGAGTCAATAATATGTAATGAGCAAGATACCATTTCGGTGGATTGGTAGAGTCAACGTAACATGCTCCTGCTTCAACCTTGCACCAAAAAGCATCGCATTCACCCCAGTATATTCCACCGGAACTTTCGTCTTCTCCGTAGACACCGGAGTCGCTGGTCAAATCCGGATCAAATATACATCCATCTGTTTCAGGATGAGCTTCAACGCCAACCATAGATCCCACCGAGTGAACCGGACTCCACGCAGCTGGATTGATCTGTGTCATTTAAACGTCGATTTACATTTTACCGAGAAATATTTTTATGAAGGAATTACCTTGACAACGTTTCCCATCCCCTTTCCGGAGACTACTATGGACTCTCCAGATTTAGTCAACGACTCGTTCGATATAGTTATGTTTGCAACGCTTGCCTCGGTCAGATCGCCCATGTCCAACGAATTCGACGACCTCTTCTTCTCTTCGCTCAAATATATGTCTTGAAAAGATGTTTGCTGTGAATTTTTGCCATCGTTCGCGCGTTGCCATAATTTCAGAGACGTTGGCGTAGGCGCGGATCGAGATTGTTCTTCCCATTCCCGGATCAACGTGGTTCCTTCGCTCGTACTGTGCGGTCGATTCTATAAATAAACATCATTTTAGTATCGACTCAGAATTTCAAACGTCGATGCAATAAATACCAATGATCCCCAACTCTGATGCCTCTGCTGCTGTGGAGTACCAGACATACTGTGTCTATTCGACGACGACAAACTGGCGTTACTGCTCGCTCGACTAAGCTGCAGAGGTGCGTTAATTAATCTCCATTTTTTACCCGTTAATTCGGATTGAGTGATGCCACTGCGATAATACAGGCATCTGTCCTCATGACCAACAGCCCACACCTTAGAGAACAATTCGGTTCATAGTACATGTATAAATATTTGTTAAGCGAATTAAATTACCTGATCGTTAGGAGCAACGGATACCAAAGACATTTTACTCATCATTTCCACCCAGCCAGTGCCGCTAGCCATTTGCTCGCAGACTCCGCTCATCTCGCCCTTCACACCTTTCCTAAACCATACTTCTCCATCGTGCGTTACAGCCCATACGGCATCCGTACCCACGCTAACTTGCACTAATTTCAAATCTTTTTGAGGAGGATCGACTTCTACCCAATCTTCTCCTGTAAAACAGAGCTGCGTTAATTCTATAAAACTTATTACGCGTTATTGTACATACCCATTGGATTGTCTCTGGTAACACCCGTACGCACAATCGCTTTACCAGTCATTAATACTGCCCAAACGAGACCAGTCATCCCGACACTGATCTGACACACCTCGTGTCCGTTCGTTAACTTTATCGTGCTCCACCTCTGACCCTCGGGGCACGTTGTAGTCGTTCCGACGCGAAACATTAACTAAAATAATAATGCAAACCATATAATACCACAGTTGTAAAACGCATATTTATCGCAGTAACCAGAATGATATGCTATAAGATCTGTCAAAAGATTCTTTTAAATGTTATACCCTCCCGTGAGCAGTTACTGCCCAGACTACTAGGCATCCAGGATTACCTCCAGGTATTTGATTTCCACCCACAGATATGTCAATAAACGGTTCCTGAAAATATGTTATCGTTTCAGTAAACAATCGACTACGAGCTTATTTAAAAATGTTACCTTCGTCGCATCCTTGTGAAGTGGAGCAATAGCACACCATGAGTTCATGGCACTGTATCTTCTATAACGAACCCATTTCCGTCTCCTGACACACGATTTCCATTGCTTTTTCGTAGAATACGTTGCTGGAAAATCAACTGCGTATGTCCATCCCTAGCAAAATATATTCTCTCTGATCATAACACACTGTGGTGATGCTGACAACAAATCTATGTATAAACCGAAACAGAGGGACAACTTAAGTATGAACGAATAAACAGTTGGTCTATGTTCTTAACGCATAATTTGGGATCTAGTACAGGAAAGAATATTAAAGCAAATACAACAGGCAAAGGTGGGAGGACATGCAGAAACGATTTAGTTAAGTTTACATCGTGATCTAGCGGTTGACCATCTAATGTTGTCTCTATTTGCCAGTCTCCTTCCCATTGCCAGGCCATCGAAGGTAATCTTACTTTTTCTCTGCTCCTATCCACTGTACCATCTTGATTAGAAAAGTTATATCTATCAGTGGGCAATAATCTCCCACTGAATCCTTCTAAAGGTAGCCAACGCTGCAAACATCGTCTACCATTAATATCTCTGCGAGTCTTCCCTCGAGTAATTGGAAACATACTTCGTTTTCATATATCTCTTCCTTGATTCTTATGGGTACATCTAAACCGTGTACGTGTACGTAAACTTGTCTATCTCCGCCTATGGCCCACATGAAATGAGGCACAGCCGAGAGCTGTTTGAACTCAAGCCCTAGGTACATGAATTCTCTCCACATATTTCCAGACGTTGATAATCCAAATACACGACCCTCATTATTAATAGCGTATAAGTACGAGCTTGGCATTTTTAATACTTTGCACCTTCAACGGAGACAATTATACTGGCACTAAGGAGATTACATTTATACTTTAAATAGAGCGCTGTGAGTAAATGTTGATAAAAATCATTCTTACTTTAGAGATGATGTCACGTTTACGATACTGGTCTATACACATATAAAGACGATACCTCAACGATTTAGAACGCAGATTATTTTTCCTTTCTTAGGTAGTATTAGATAAATATCATTGTTCCCTCTTCATAAAATAGTACGATGAGATCGCGGAGGGATAATCGTTATTACGTGAAGTACTTATATCTTAGCATTTCTAACATTACAGATTGTTTAATATTGAGGATACAATGTTAGGAAAGGAGTACACTTAAGATGATTTAAAATGAAGCAACATTATTTCAGTAACACTATATTCGGTCGGTGTTGTCTACTGTCTGCATATGTATATGCCGTATATATACTATACTTAACTATACTTGCAATTTTAAGTATAGTATATATTTGATGTCATATATATATAATGCTAAAACATCAATGTAAATGTAGCTTAACGTTGACGGAGAGAAGAGGGAGGAGAGCCGGGAGAGCGTTCTGCTGCCAGTGCTGCCTTCTGCCCGTTCTGCAGCATTCTACTCGCGTGCACGTGGTTGCAGCTGGTTGCAGCGAACGTTCTTTATTTACAAAAGTGCTATCTGGTTTAAATGCATTTATATTTTACACATTGTTAAACACGTGTTGCTCATTCGCGTTCGTTATATAAAATGGTTGTATTCACTTGTAACAATTGCGGCGAGTCGCTGCGCAAACAAAAAGTTGCACAGCATTACATGATGCGATGCCGGAGGATGCCAATGAACATATCGTGTGTCGATTGTTTCAAAGATTTTTTGTAAGTACTGAGGAAAATGTAGCGTTTTTTTTTATTCTCATTATTGAAAATCTTATTTTAAGGGGTAATGAGTATGAGAAGCATACAGAGTGCATAACCGAACTTGAAAGATACGGCGATAAATCTGCGGGTATTACAGCCCCGAAGTACGCGAAAAAACAAAAAGAATGGCTCAGTGTAGTGGAAAATGTACTAAATAGCGATAAAAGTTTGTCCAAGGAGGAACTACACTTCTTGAATCTTTTGTCTAAACACAAAAACATTCCGCGGAAAAAGTCCAAGTTTGAGAACTTTGTAAAGTGTGCTATGGGCTCTCGGAGAATAAAGCCTGATGTAATTAACAGTGTTTGGGACAAACTTTCGGCTTATAAAAGTGATGTTCAAAATGACAATACTCAAAACGAAAAACAGCAGGAGAATGGTAAGCCTCTAATGTTTCAGTCAATGTTCAATAAACTTCAACTGTTAGATGCTAATTAAAATAATTATAAAGCAGGTCAAACTGATGAGAATGACGTGAGCATGCATCAAGAAAATAGTATTGTTGAAAACCAAAATAATGAGAACATAGACAGAGAAAAGCAGAATGGGGATCATGAAAGTACAAATGGTCTTCAGAATGGTACTGGTAGTAATGATAAGAGTAAAAAGAAATTGAAGAAAAGGACAGCATCTGAAGCAGGTCAAGAGCAAACAGAAACCAGAAATAATACTGAAGAACCAATCACCAAGAAAAAAAAGAAACATGCTTCCACAGAGGAAACAGTTTCATCAGAAAAGAATGAAGACACTCTGATTTCTGAAACCTCGATTAATCAAGACGACGCGAACTTAACTTTCAGTTGGAAAGATGCTATTCTTAGTACGGTAAAAAGTAAAGGGGAAATATCTTTGAAAAAGTTGCAGGATAAAGTCATCTCACGATACATGAACTTTTCTTCGAACACCGTGTCACGCGAGAAAGCATTTAGTAAATTCAATAAGAAACTGAAGAAAGTATCGGAAGTAATAGTTTCCGATGAAAAAGTGAGATTAGCCTAATTTGACTGGTTTCATGTCATTTTATGTTTCTTTAAAGAAGATATGATTCATTGACATTAATTGTTCGATTGATTACTTCGAATATTAACATATACTATTGCTGGTACGTGAAACAAAACAAGAGGTTTGCGATGAGTGAATAAAACTTGTTGAAATTATCACAGAATTTATTTAAAATTTTTCATTTATCAGTGTGAATAATTATTAAGTGTATAAAGTATAACAACAATAAATAGTACAATGAGAATTGTATACAGCATAAAATCATTCTGTCAAGTATGTTTACTTGGAGGCAAAGAATTTTTATATAAATAAATGGTTTAAAATACATCTTTATCCTATTATTATATAGAACATTTACGACCTTTAGAGTGGGTTTTTGGTACTTGGAATAGGAAGAATGATATAGGATTAAAATTTGGTACTTGAATTACATATTTGAAAATTTATCCAAATACCAAGTATGGCTACTCATGGTAGCCAGGAGACCCCATGTAAGTTCTGTGGAATCGTTCGGACCAAAGGTTATTAATTGTTGATCAAATAATTGTGTGACCATGCCACCGAGCGCAGTGAGGATCGCAATACCTGCACAGATGTCCCACTTCTTTATCGCAGTCATGTGCACATATGCAGTTGCATTTCCACTCACGACTTCTAAAAATTTGTATCCCGCACCAGCTGCAGAGATAATTTTCACATCTGTGCCAAATGCAATTTTAGAAGCATTATGAATCTGACCAGCGTGCGATCTCGATACAATCAATATCGGCGCTCTTTCGTCTTCCAGCTAGTTTCAAAAATAGAAATTACATACAATCTGTTCAAATAATTTCTCTCTCGTTTGTTACCTTGTGCAGTACTTGTAAATTTCTTGATACTGCGTGATTGGTCCATGTCCAAAACAGACTAGAGTTCTGCTTGGTCTCAAATGGTTTGTATATGACACCCATGATGGGTTTGCCCTTAACAGCAACACAAACCATCGTAGTAACATACTGTAATAAGTTTTCTATGGCAAAAGATTAAGGAACAATGTACACAGCCATTTGAAAATATAAACGTAGACTGATTTATAGAATAATAATGTACCTGTAAATTCTTTTGTTGCATCGAGGGGATCTATCCAAACCGTGATATCATCTGCATTTATAATCTCATCCTTGATATCATAATTGTTCAAATTATTAGTACTATCTTTTATTGTGGGTATAGTAACTTTATCACAGTTTTTTGATGTCTCTTCCGATATTACTGTTATGCTTGGAAATACTTCAAGCAAGGAATGATACATAGCGCAATGAGACTTGTAATCTGCTTCAGTCACGGGATCATTTATGCCTTGAGAATAAAGAAGACCAAATGAAAATATATATCGGTAATCTAACAATAAAGATTAACTTTATTACCTTCTTTAGTTTTTCCTTTGCTCTGTATCTCGAATTTAACTTGATCATGAACAGCCACCACCGCGGAGCCACCGATTTCGGCAGCTCTTATAGCGGCAGCCAGGAGCAATTTAAGAGAAACGTCTTTATCCCTGATGTTCGCGTACAACACTCGATTCGTATACAAATACAGTGCACTCAATATTATTACGATACCGCAAATTGTTCTCCTGATTCGCACACTCATTCTGATATGCATAACAAGCTAATCTATGTTACGTTAATTCGGCGTGACTTCTGTCTATTTTATTGTCCTGTGCTGAACCATTGTTTATTCGCTTAAAATGTTTAATAATTAATAGCACACGACCTTTGGGATCCGATGCACATCGGCGAGATTGACATTGAACCTGAAAGCCATGCGCAACTATTAATACTTTTTATTATTTATTCGACCACTTCTTTTGTATGAAGGTGTGAAGAAAATAAAATCGCAAGTCTAATAGGCAATGAGACAAGAAAATAAATACAGTCATATGGCGATTGGCGATTGTGTAGTTGTATAATAAATACGTTTGAATCAATGAGAAAGACAAGGAAGACTGTCGCACAAGGAGGACAAACATGCATCTTTCTTTATAGCATCGTTTGTATGATATCTGTGACGGGACCAAAATGAGATTCCAGTGTTTGTTCTTTGAATTTTCAGCTTTAAATTAAGACTTATTACGTCAAAATTCATCCACTAGAAGCCGATATATTTAGGCTTCACTGTTATTATAACTTGAATCAAATATATAGGGAGAGGCACGAAACCGAGAAGCTGTATTACCAGTTGCACAAAAGTTACTGTAATGATCAAAGTCTGAGAAGCATGTTCTACTTTCGAGCCTTCGCGCGTTTGCTATAATAATTATGCTATAATAATTGCGAGTAGAATTAATTTCTGCATCGTCTGATCGTTATATGAATAATCGAAGGTATGATGGTCGGGTAAAATAAATAAATTTCATCGCGAACCAACAGTTTTATTTGACGTTTTATTTGCATGTTACGATATTTTACGTTTTATTCCTGCGTGCAATAATCAGAGAAGCTGGATTTTATTAATTTTGTTATAGTACGTTATAGTGTAGTAGTTGTGTAATGGTGGTGAAACTGGCTCGATGGTAATTTTTTTAACACACAAATTTTATCAAATGAAGCAGTGGACAGTGGATGATCCGCACGACATACAATAAACAAAATCGATTTTCGAGAACCGACAATTCCTCGTGGTGGTTTATACGTAAGTTGATACGTGGTGTCTTTATGTAAAACCGAGCGAAGAAAAGAATTATGGTCTCGGTGATGCAACCATTCATGGTGAGTGGACAATAACGAAAAGGAGAAACGCGTTACCGGTTTTCTTCTGCTTTCGAAAAATATCATTTGCGTACAATGATTTAGAACGATTTCGAAATTAAATGAATATCCGATTGAATCACAGGATGTTGAGAGCTCGAGAAGTTACATCGATGAACTATACTCGCTGGATCCACAAAAATGTTTAGAAGCTATTATGTGAGTAGAAAATGCGCTTAACCCCATGGTTACCAAAGGTTACTATCATATCATGTTCATATCATCATGAGACACAATGTTATAGAGACATAATACAATTTTAAACAACACTGATCTAGTTTTTCAATCATCATCTAGATGATACACATTAATTACATATCTTTTTCTTATTCCTAGATGTTTAAAAAATTCCGTAATTGGAAGTAATAGACAAAAAGGATCCGTGATAGCTCAGGGTGTAGTACCACGTTTATTACAACTTCTTGGAGACACCTCAGAAAGAATAGGAGACAATATAAGGCTAGAGGCAGCAGTGACTTTGGGCTCTTTGGCCAAAGGGACAGATCAACACGTGCTAGCATTGATAGATCTGGGTGTAGTGCCACTGCTTTTTCAGGTCATTCTGTCTACGCCTGTCTCAGAGACACCCTTACAAGGGAAAGCAAAAGTAACAGATTTATTGAACGAGGCATGCTTGCGTTGTTTGAGGACAGTATTTGAACATCCAGCAGCCCCTGTTCATTCTATATACCAGGATCCTGCATTAGTGCCAAGATTGGTTTCGTTGGCGAACCAATCTGTTACCTGTCAAATATGCGTAGCAACAATTTTAACAACAGCATGCAAGGTAAAAGAAATATGTACCAGAAATTAATTGGATTTAACCGGAAAGTAAAATGATGTTCGATCTGTATCAGACAACGGAGGAACAGGATGCTTTGTCCAAAGGTGGTGCTGTAGAAACGTTGGCAATGCAATTGGATTCTCCATTACCTGATGTACAGTTATCGGCTTTAGCTTGTTTGGCAAATATGTGTTACGAGAATTATAGGGTATGTGTTATGGTCGCGTCAGCGACTACCAGTAATACACCGCAGGGTAGACTTGTACCCGTAGCGTTAGGACAGTTAATGGGCCGTGAGAAAAATTCCTTAATTCAACTTGAAGCTGCGCGATGTGTTACGTATATGCATAGAACCGGAGTTTTACCATACAAAGATCCGAGAATTATATACCGTGCTTTACCATGTTTGGTGCGACTTTGCCATCGAGACCATCCGCCTCGCGAGAGAGTGGCCGCGGCCGAAACGTTGGCATTTCTCACTGAAGTCAACACCGAACTACAACGTTTAGCTTCCATTAGCAATCATTTAATTCTTATGCTCGCTGAATTATTGCGACCTCATCCGCATGTAAGTGCATTATACTTGTCAAAGCGTTTAAAACATAACGTGACTTCTTCATCGCTGATATCTTTCAGATACAAGATGCGACCTTGACGCAAGATATGCGACAAGCCGCGTTCAGAGCGTTCGCGTCTCTCGGTGCTAACGACGAGGATATTAGGAAACGCATTATTGAGACGGAAAGTCTCATGGAACAAGTAGTAGCGGGTCTCCAGGATCCTGGAGGTTCTCGTGTACGTTTAGCGGCTGTTAGATGCTTGCACTCGCTTTCCAGAAGCGTTCAGCAACTTCGGACAACGTTTCAAGACCATGCCGTTTGGAGGCCTCTCATGCAACTGTTGCACGGAGCGGACAAGGGATTGGAGGGTAAAATATAATATCTTTGATTCGTTATTACGAATGTCTAACAGAAATAACAATATTCTTGTACAACGAGAGAGATGTTTCAAATACACTTATTCTAGATTCAAGCGTTTATTAAGAATTATATTATAAATTATACGTCGTGCGGTTCGTTCATTTTCATTAATCATTATTGTAATATTATGTAGGTAGAGGCGAGAGTGAAGTTGATTTATTAACTGTTGCCTCGAGTACTTTATGTAACTTGTTGTTGGAATTTAGTCCGAGCAAAGAACCGATTCTTGAATCCGGAGGAATCGAATTACTGTGCTCGCTGACGAAACGGTGCACGCCCGAGTTGCGATTGAACGGAATCTGGGCGTTGATGAACGTGGCTTTCCAAGCCGAGCAACAAGTGAAATTGCAGATACTACAGTGTTTGGGAACGGATCAGATCTTTTGCCTTTTGGCGGATCAAAACATACCCGTTCTAATGAAGACGCTTGGTTTGTTGCGAAATTTGGTCTCCACGAAGGCTCACATAGATCGTATAATGGGGGAGCATGCTGCCCACGTTATGCAAGCTGTTATATTAGTTTTAGAAGATCCGAGGCATCCTCCGGTCGTTAAGGAGCAGGCGCTCTGCATTTTAGCGAATGTGGCCGATGGAAATCGAGCAAAGGATCATATAATGGCTAATGAGGACGTGCTTAAAAAACTTATGGATTACATGGTTCGTGAACGAACATTATCTCGCCCTTTTTATCATCTGATATCATCTCTCAATTCCTTTATTTATCAGAACGATACAACACATTCATATATTTTACCGATTAATGCTAGTAGGACCTTTTTATGATACCCGATATTTCGTTTAGATGCACAGCAGTTTAAAATTGCAAGTGGCTGCTGTATTTTGTGTGTGCAACCTAGTCCGGAGGGAAGAACCTGGTGCTGCACAACGGCAAGCACGTTTAAAAGAATTGGGCTTTTATCGTATTTTGCAACAGTTACGTCATAGCAAGGATCTTCAATTATTCGATAAGTACGGCCAATCGTTCACTGAACGTTGTCTTTATATGTTTTCGGATCAAAATTAAATTGTGTATGAAACATTCCTGATAGTGTCTGTCACATTACAGTAATAGTCGCGATATAAAAATATTTTCTTATCTTCAATGTACATCTGTTCTTTGTTTCAGGGTCAGAACTGCCATAGCACAATTCTATGACGCCTAAATTTTCGATGACATGACAATTCAGGTTTTGATTTAGAGTTCTTTTATACATATGGAATGCAATTGTATTTTGGTGTTGACTCTGTGATTCTGTATTTTGTTGATGCATAAGCAGTTTATATTTATATAGAAATGATACAAAAACATAATCCACGACGACGTGATCTGTTTATGTTGTATTTATTTTATTTAAAAAAGAAAAGCAGCGTGCGGTACTTTAGTATATTAAAGGAAGGAATGTAATAATTGTACCATAAATTTTTAAAATATGAATTGTCTACAGTACTACTGTAATACAGCGATGATGTCAACGAAATTTAATTGAAAGGACTCATACCTTGTGAAATGACAACAAATTGCAAACACACTTTTAACATTAAATATACTTTGAACATATTTTGTTATAAATGCGAATAGGAATGTTGGTAATTATTGATTATCACGAAAGAGATGTATGACTAGTAGATCTTACAAACTATCATAGATCTTGTATCTTTGGTACGAAGCTGGAAAAGATATTTAAACATTCGTAAATCTTTGATTCTTACCGTCGTCCTGCTGTTTTCATTGAACCTAACAGATCCAGAATGTTCAAGTTCCAATGATAAATATAAAAGATCGGTGCAAGTGTAAGAATCAAATAATGCTCATCGGCATTATCTTACCTGACGATTAAAATAAAAACGTCTGATCGTTGCTAAAGATTGCAACTAATCGTACGTTGTAATAGTACAATAATTTTAAGCACTTCGAGAAGTTAAGCGGATGCATTACTGTCGTTCGATAGATTTTCCATTGGATTATTAGCCAAAGGATCGAGTTCAGCGAATAAATCCAACCAGGAATTACCCTTTTGTTTGCCAGTCTTATTTTTTTTCTAGGAACAAATACGGTTAAAATTAGTCTCTTGGTGCTTGAGCGATCCGTAGATTAATTCATTTTGTATACTCTAGTGAAAATAATTAAAAAGTTAAAGATCGATTAACTTTTACTTACTTTCTCGCTTGAGTTGGTAGTAGGCATAGTCTTCTGGCTGACACCGAGTGCCGCGTCGCCCAAGCTCTGTTTCAATATATTCGGTGGCAAGAACGTGTCATGCGATAACGCCTCCCATTCGCTACTAACATTTTGTTTATCACCGAGAATATCGTTCAAAAGCATCATATTTTCGGACGTCAGAGATTGTAGAGATTGCTCTCCTGAATTTACTTCGTCCAATGGAGATAAGTCGGCCAAACTGAAACTCGTATTCGACTTATCAAATATATCCAACGTTATGCTTTGTTCATCAAACTTTTTATCAAGTTCCGATAGATTTCCTTCCGCATTGCTGCGTAAAACGTTATTGTCCACGTTCAAATTCGCGAAAAATCGATCGAGGTCATCCTTGTTCTCTTGATCAGAAGTGGGTTTCGTAATTCCATTGTTCGAGGAGCCGGAATTCAAGTCCAGTCCTTCAAGACCAAATATATCTTTTGCATCGTAGTCGATGTCCAACAATTTTTCATCTTGCTTGTCGTTTTCATTCCGCGTATTGGGTTTAACTTCCTCGGCTTCCTCGATCGTGTCGTGATAATCCATATCGAAAAATGATAATTTATCTTTATCCTCGGAATCGTCGTCACCTCCAGTCTCTTGAGCTAATTTACTCGAGGGTTCAGCGAGTTCTCTTACAACCATAAAATCGTAACGCTGATAGCCTTTGAAACTACTCGCTATCGTAGAATACGCTTGTGCAGATTTCTCGGTGAAATTTAATAACGTACTTTGATACAAAACTAAAGCATGACTGAACATGTTACACCTAGCGGCTGCTAATAAATCCACTTTCTGGAGACAATCTAAGGCCAAACTATCGAAGGCCATTTTACCTTGTCTAACGCACGTTTGAACTTTCCGAAATCTTTCTAACTGTTTCGACGTATCGGGATCTAGTTCTTGAGAAACATTCTTCATCCAGGACAGAGCTGCTCTGTATTCTGTACGAGACTTCTCCATCGCTTGAACCTTCTGCAGAGTATCTTCGATGGCCCTTTGCCTGAACGTTTCCACTTCCTGATACAATCTACCTAACGGGGCTCTCAAAGCCAGCCTCTGTTGACCAGAATACGACAATGATTTTCCAACTGCGGTCATCATCTTGCCAGCTCTGGTTTTATCCTGTTTACCAGCATCTTTAAGAAATCTTCCCATCGCGTTCTCTTCCTGCGCAAGGTCTGTACAGAATTTAAAGCTTCAGTCATTTATTACTTCTTCGAGGTTTTAATTACGATTTCAACTTACTGCATAATCTTTCCTGGTATTTGTCTATAATTCTTTGTAAGTAAGAGCAAGACTCTTGAATACTGCGAAATAATTCTAACTTTGCGTCCAACTCCGCGTCGGATGCTACGATACATTCGTCGTCCTTCTTCCCTAGCTTTCGTGATAAAGTTTGCTTTGTAACCCAAAATTGATGTTGCATCTTTGTGATAGCCGAATCATCGTGCATATTGGTCCTTTGTACCCAACGGTCGAAAGAGTTTCCTGATACACCTGGTCCGTTTCTATTGTTACTAGAAATTACGTTGTTCAAATATATTCTTGCGTAAAACATTTTCAAGCAACAAATCAAACTGATAAAATATCATAATGAATGCGTGGGCGTAATATCTTATCGGTTACGAGCTACGAACAGTACACGGACTTATAGATTACGTTGCGTGAAGTTCTTTGTTTAACATAAAATAATTGTATAAACGAATAATTGTAGAAAAGACTTACTATGTGTTCATGATGGAAGACGGTAAAACGCGAATAACACTTACAATTAAAATATGCGAGCGGGTGTAATTGAAAATAATAATACGGCACTTATAAATATCATACTTCTTTAACACGCATGATTGATACTCTTTTAATATGTTGAAACAGGTGTTTGTACTTTAATACTGACAACAAAACTGACACATATTCCTTTGCCTGTGTCAGCTTGATAGTTCGAGGACTTGTTGTTACATGGGTGCATACTATATGTATTGTTAATTATCCACCTAAACTTTAAGAGACATTTCGATAGACACGGCATCAGCGTGCGGATAATTTTTCCCTCGAGGCTCGCTTCCCCTCTTTTTCACCCGTATTTCGATCCCCACTACTATTCCCCTCATGCGTGCACATGCGCGTTCGCGAAGCTCTCCGCAGCGCTATGGTCCCCACCATGGTCGCGTCGTCCCCACTTTTCGGCCGAGGGAAAAATTATCCGCACGCTGCCGCGGAGCTCCGCTTGTCCGTCGAGGAAAACTAATCCTCCGCTATGCGGCGTCCTCGATGAATTAGTCTGTCCTTTTCTATTATATATTCTTCTTAGAGCGAGAACCCCTGTTCCAAGAATTCAAATGCGAATTCTCGTTACCAGTGATTTCGGCCGGCAGACGGTGTTGTTATTTTTTCCTCGGTAGGGCTCGCGTTGACTCATCGGTATAAGAAACGTCGCACCGTTTCTTATACTCGAGCAATTCGAAATCTAACGCTTTATTAAAATTTACTTCGATAAGGCCGAGAAAACTCCGTAAACCTCCCTTTTGATTTTAAAAACGCCATTCTTTAAACACATATTTTATATTCCGCTCAATTTTAATCCTTAACACATTCGAGATCTGCAGATTTTGAAAAGACTATTACTCAGTAACCAGTGTCATGTTTTTGCTTAGTCCTCAGTTTTTTATTCACTATCCAACTCATACACTTTCGTCTATTGGGTAGCAATATTAGTTGAATGATGCTCCCCTCTTTTTCGCCCGTATTTCGATCCCCACTACTATTCCCCTCATGCGTGCACATGCGCGTTCGCGAAGCTCTCCGCAGCGCTATGGTCCCCACCATGATCGCGTCGTCCCCACTTTTCGGCCGAGGGAAAAATTATCCGCACGCTGCACGGCATACGAGACAACAAGGCGAATTAACATGAGATGAAATTATTCAATTTTTTCACTATAGTAGAATTTTTTATTAAAACTGCAATGAATAAGATCATGAATTAGATATTATTCTATGTACATAGAACATACGATACAATATACAATACAAGCATACAACGTGCTGCAATGATTTCAAAACGACATACTTCAGGATCCCAGCTATTATATAGATATATCATATACATACATATAGTTGAAGTCACGATATTTACACCTACACCTATGCTATTTAATAGTCAGTCAGCTCATTCAAAATGCTAAATTTACGTGTCCCTAGGCCGCCCTAGTGCTATGCGTTAGTAACAAATATAGCGCAACCAGACAGATATACTACGCAGCGTTACCAGATTTTTACCCAAGGCCGCAAAGTGGGGACGACGCGACCATGGTGGGGACCATAACGCTGCGGAGAGCTTCGCGAACGCGCATGAGCACGCATGAGGGGAATAGTAGTGGGGATCGAAATACGGGCGAAAAACAGGGGAAGCGAGCGTCGTGGGTAAAAATCTGGTAACGCTGATACTACGTAGTATATGCTCTAAGGGTGGACCTCTTTCCCGAGTTGGCCGCAAGGTGCAGCACTTTCGTTGCGGCTTCACTTGAGAACAAAGGACTGAACACTCTCAGTTTTTATCATTTCTCTCTGATACAAAATGAGTTCTTTCTCAAACATTAATGACCTGTCAGAGGAACACATATTACGATGCACGAGGGCAATCTTTCATTTGACGAAGGAGCAATTGAAAGCTAAAAATGCACTGTTCGATGGGGAGAGCCAACCACTGTTCATGCAAGTAACATGTATAAGGATTCCCGAAACTCCGAGAAGATGTATGAGAATGTAAGTTTGTCAGATCACAGCCGTCATCGTCGTGCACTGTTACACTGGCCACAAGTGATTATAGAACAATACCTAATCTCCAATTGGTCTTTCTGAGTATTCGTGATTATACTCCCACGAATGATATGGCATATTTCACTTCACCGAGCGATGACTGATCCAGCTTGGCTTAGCACATAACACTTAGCAGGCAATTTGTTTCTTCCAGTGTACTACCTCATTCGATGGTATCGGAAACTGACGAGGTGGCACTTTTTGTTGGCGATCTTGAAAGAGGTAGAAGAAAGGATTACGAACCAACCGTGGAACACTACGAAGACCTGCTGCGTAAACACGGATGTACAAGGATCAAGAGCGTGATACCCATGAATCAAGTGAAAACGGAATACGATCAGTATGAATTGAAGAGGAAGCTCGTCGACAGTTACGATCATTTCTTGGTCGACGGGAAGATAGCTGGCCATTTGTCTCATTTATTGGGAAGTGAATTTTACAAGAAAAGAAAATTACCGACGCCCGTTAGAATGCAGAGCAAAGATTTAAAACACGAGATCGAGCATGGTCTAAAAAAAACTTTGATGCCAATACATCCCAATGGCGACACTCATGTCGTCCAAGTTGGACATAGCTGTATGAAGGAGGAACAGATTCTCGACAATATATTAGCAACGTGTACCTTTCTGTCTAAGCACTATCCAGGAGGTTGGACCAACGTTCGTTGTGTTCGCCTGAAAACTCGGACCAGCTTGGGTCTTCCCATATACACGACACTGAGTAACGTATCGCGGATGTCATAGTATACGTTTTGTACGCATGTCCTTCCCATTCATCCAAACGTTCTACGACTAGTGTTTTTCCCATTTCAGAAAATAAAAACTCTGTCCAAATACCGACCGTGCGACCTAAGAGACCTAAAGCATATCACCAAGTGTCAGGAGAGATAAGTACCGTGGCAAGCCTCGACTCCGTAACTGTGACTCCCGAAGGAGACGTTATTGTTCAGCAGAAGAGGAAGAGGTACGGGAAACGAAACATCGAACAGAACAAATAATTAAGCTTTCTATTATTTTCTTTCTGTGACTCTAGTAAACAACGTCGAAAAATCATTGTTCTACTTATTACTAACCACATTACCCTAACCATTTAACATTTGTAATTATTGCATCATCGTCTTATACTCTATTATACGTTCACTGGCAGCACTATGGTACTGCATTTGTATCGAATGTTCGTCACGATCATGATGAATAAGAACAGACGAGAAGATGGAAAAAAAAGAAGGAAAATTAAATTAATACAAAATAGTCTGATCCTTTTTGGATATACTTTGATATCCGTTCACCGGTGTTGCTGGAATGCTGTTTGTGCTACCGTTTGTACTTTGCGTATATTTATAGACGTTGGTGGGATTGGTGACCACCTCTATTTCTTGGAAATTTCCAAGTCTTCGAACATCATCGTCTTTCCTCAGTCTGGTGTTGGGCAGTTTTCTCAATTTAACAATATGACTAGGATCGACGTTAAGTTCCTGGCAACATACGTGAATCAACGTCTGATATGTTAAATCAGTTTGTGGTAATTCAACCTCAATGAAATCAGGATCGATGCCATCAGCAATACGAATTTTTAATACCAATTCTGAAACGAATCACGCCGATCAAGAGACCGATAGAAAGAGCTGACAATGCAAATTGCATGTTACAAATTCCTCACCAGCTGGACACGCACCATTACTTCGAATTCTACCTGTTCCTGGCACTCCTGCTGTCTCTACAGTTCCATGAGCGTAATCATCGGTTTTTAAATACACAGGCATTGTATTAGGTACCGACGACGGTGTGATTAAAACTCGTTTACCATCAGCTGTTGACATATTCAACAGTTGCACGTGTTAAAAACTTGGAAATTGACCGATGACGACTGACTTTCGATTCTTCGATTGTTCGACTCGTCTTTGGTATCGCATTGATCGAATTGTGCAGAATTGTGATTGATACCGCCTAGATACCGCCTATTATACAGGTTCTCTCACGGAGGTTCTAATCGTGGTTCTGGTCATGGTTCTGATTTGGTTTTGGTCATAAGCAGACACGCACCGTATACATAATGGAATCGCTGACGCCGCGCGCGACGGCTGGGCGCTGGCGGCTGGCCGACGATGAGAAACCAATAGCAGGATAAAAAGAGAAAGTTGTCCAATGGGTCTCTCTCTCTTTGTCTAGACGCGATGGCGCAGTCACTTACTGCTCAGGGCGCTATTCGGGTTCGGTTCTAAGCATGTTCGGAGGTCGTCGGGTCTGTTCGGACAGTTCGGGTTTGGATCAGTTCAAATATGGCGGACTACTATCGGCAGACAGTGATTTCGGACTGTTTCGGAGTCTGATGGTTCGCGAGGGATATGGGATATTTGACACCGGTGAGAGAACAATATGAATCGGAACGAGTCTTCTCCGAGGAACACGTGCACGGTGGAAATAAGAAAACTGGAGCGTGCGAGAACCGATCGAATTGATCTTACGAACGGGTAAGCTAACGAGCAAGTACATTACATATTTGCGTGTGCATACCTACCTGTACTTACGCATCGAATCCTCGCGTTTCGATTCGACTCGGTAAGGACTCGTGTACTGTGTACCTATGATACGTACACTCTGTTGTATAGTCGTTCCGGGATGGTCTGCGGTGGATAGAGATCTTGGTTGGACGATATCTCTTACCTATCTGAGTTAGTAGATGTGTTGTACACGCTCGTTTTTGGAACGAATATGATTTCAAATGAGAACTGACCGTTGCGTTCGAGACGGTGCGAGTATAACTAACAAACGCTTACTCGCGCATTGTTTCTTTATCGTTCATCGTTTGAACATTATTTTTTGTCCTGATGCGGCTCAACTAGCTTGGCCTGATTGTTGGTAACGACGATTTTGATGCATATATTCGTTTACGGACGACGAAACAAGATTAATTATCAGAAGTCTAACAAACATACGTGCGTCCGTAGTTTCCAACCTTTTCGTTTCATATTTCGTTTTTTTTTTTCACAATATTATTGTGAAACGGACGAATCTCTATCTAGCGTGCAGGTACGTGTTTATGAGAACGACGATAGACATTGGCATCACGCTTTCTCTTTCAGGCGCATTTTTCGTTTGCATCGTCTCGTTTTTTCACGGTCCGTGCACGGTGGTATACTGCGATATTTGAAATTGATCGTCATTGTCACGTAGCATGTCCTCGTTGATAGGTAGAATGGAATAGGATAGAATAGGTAGAGTAAGTAGAGTTGTCTGGTTATCCAGTTCGTTCATTTTCGTCCGGGTCCGCAAAAAAATAACAGTTCTAAGCAACTGAATCCGTGCGTTTGTAACTCTTCTAGCTAGTTCAAGCTGACCATCGCCGAATAAAAGTGGGAGAAATGGATGGGACGAGAGCAGCGGAGGTTCTACCTTTGCTCCAAGAACGTCTAGCCATTTTACCGGGTGGCCGAGATCGCAGAGGTGGACCCGTACTGGTGTTTCCAACTACGCCGAGGCGCGAAAGGGCCAAACCTGAGGATTATCGTCGCCTCTTGCAATACCTGTTGACTGTGCCAAGCGACGAAGTCAGGGGCTTACGTTTCACGGTTATTGTGGATATGCGAGGCGCTACTTGGGATTCTGTCAAACCGATTCTAAAGGTCTCAGATGTTACGATAAATAGAGAGAACGAGAGAGTGAGTGAGTGAGTGAGTGAGTGAGTGAGTGAGTGAGTCGTCCGTCTCCGGAAACGGTTGTCATTCGTCGGCACTGAACAATTACGACTTGTCGTTGATAAGTATGCCGGATACTTTCAGGTGTTGCACGAGCATTTCCATAGATCGATTCATGTTGCTTTTATCATCAAACCCGAAAACTTTTGGCAGAAACAACGGACATCTTTGGCCAAGCAAAAGAAATACAATTTCGAAGTAAGTGAAAACTGTGGGTGAGACTGCCGAGTCGGGGAGGGCAGGGGTATGGGGCAATGTCGAACAAGATGAGTAGATAAGAATCAGGACAACAGCATGTTTCTCATTGGTTCATTTATCATTTTTCTCGTAGATAAGCACCATAAGTTTGGAAGCTTTGGCGAAAGCGATCGATCCGTCGCAATTGACTGCTGATCTGGACGGTTCGCTGCAGTACGATCACGCTCAATGGATAGATACGAGGCTGGCCCTGGAAGATTTTACATGGCAGGCGGCCGATCTTCTCGATAGATTGGACGATTTGCAAGAGGACCTGAGTCGGAACGATTTCGCCGACGACGTAGCTGGAGCGAAGCACGGAATCGATCTGCACAACGAGATGAAGAAGAAGATAATGAAGGTTCCGGTGGACGAGATCGAGGTCGTTGGACAACGTTTGTTGCAGCGTTTCGATAGCGGTGAGGTGATTTTAGCTCGGGTGATGGTCAAGCTGATCCGGTAAGATGGCACCGAACGTTCGACGACTAATCGGTTACGTTTCGGATGGTATTCGTCGCGTTAGGTATCGCCTCGAGCAGCAGCGAGAGCAGCGGTGGCGGTGTCGTCGGCGTGGAGAGCGGAGGAGCCGCGGGAGGCACCGGAGAACCGGACGGTCGAGCACTCGCGGCATTGGTGATTCAACACCTAGATTCCGTACATGCCGCGCAACAACACCTTCTGCAGTTGTGGCATATAAAAAAAATGAAATTGGACCAATGCTTTCAACTTCGACTGTTCGAGCAGGATTGCGAGAAAATGTTCGATTGGATCTGTCACAACAGAGAAGCGTTCCTGGCAAATTACGTCGAGATCGGACGTTCTTATCAGTTGGCGAAGAACTTGCAGGAGGATCACAAGCATTTCACGATGAGTTCTATGAACGTGTACGTGAACATAAATAAGATTTTGACCATGGCCAGCCGTTTGCTCGAGACTCAACATTACGCTGCTGGGCACGTGAGAGCGGTGGCCGGTCGCCTAGATCGTGCTTGGAAGGAATTCGCTGCGGGCCTCGACGAGCGGACCGCAGTTCTCAGTTTGAGCGTCGTGTTTCATCACAAGGCGGAACAATACGTCGACAGCGTCGCGGGATGGAGCCAAGCTTGCGACGCTGGAACATTGTCCAACGAAATACCGATCTTGGAATCTCATATACGGCAACATCAGACCCTTTACGAAGCGATGTGTCAAGCGTATACGGAGGTAATCGCCCCACGTCTCCACCGTATCCTTACGTCTGGTCGCGTACGTCGCGTCACGCGTTTCCAATCTTTTTCTTTTCTTTTTCTGTCTCTTACGACGGCGATGGCGACGATTTCGGTCTATCGTTTCGTCGCGGTTAGGCCGGTACCGCGCAATCGGGAATTCACGCAGTTTCATCGTTCATTTTCGAATACTCGATCCACACACACGCACGCCTCGTTCGTGCTCTCGTTCGCGTTTTCGTTCTCGACGCAGTCTCGATGCCATAAAAGATGATGTGTGATGTTCGACAGGTTTATGACGCGTATCAGGCACTCTTAAGCGGACTAGGCTCGATGTTGCAAGTGTGTCACAGCTTCAGTTCGACGCACGGTTCAAGCTCCGATTACGTATGAAACGATCACGTTAATCTTGTAATGTGTTTTCGTAGTTTCTGTTCGACTTGCCGACGCTCTTGCTTGGGGTACGCGGGTTTTACAACTTGTGAGATAAAGCCGCGACACGCAAGCATTTGATCAACATAACGGGGTTAGTAGTGGTAAAATTAACTCCACGAGTAGAGAGAAGACGACGGAGAGAGTGGTTGCATCGTGCGAAACTGGATTTCGAGAATCGATCTTCTTGTGTTAGTAAAATTGCGTACTTTTTGTTCCGCGTTGTACTACTACCATCGTATCGTCGACTCGAACCCGAACCCGTCCCCCCCAATAGTTACACTCGTCGACACGGTCGTCGAGTCGTTCTCGATCGACATGGACTGCTGCCCATTAACGCGGTGGAGTTCGACACAAGGTTTTGGGTAATCCTACTGTTGTTTAGGTGCATAGTACCAGTAAGAAGCTTCTTTATCAACTGGATCATCTCGTGCAAGTCTGTAACCAGCCGCAAGGGATAGATCATACGGCCAGAAAACATGTACGTCCACTGGTGGTACTCTGGTGTGCACTCCGGCTTGTTCTCCTCTGCATGACCGCGGACTAACACACTTTTAACGTTTTGCTTGGTGCACCGCGTATCCATCGTACCCGTAGGCATAGTCGTACAGATGGACGTCCGACACCCGTGCACGCTATCTCCGTACCTATCTCATACATCCACGAGAACGTATAATTAAACGCGTAACATGTAATACGTTTGACATTTTTGTCGACGATCGTCGGCATACGGACTGGCTAACGACCAAGACTCGATCGACGAACCGTGTGCTCCACGCGTGCTCGTTCGTCTAATGGCGTGTCTTGTACGTTATCATCGTACACGCGGCGGCGGCGGCGGCGGCGGCGGCGGCAACGTAACTGTCACGATGACGATCCCGAAATCGTGTTTCTATTCTCGTAGCAACTAACAACACCGTTCGGCGGCACCGTTTGCCGCTAGTTAAGGAGAAAGAGAAAGCACCGAGCGAGCATGCATCGAGTAAAGCTAAAGGGATAACGATCGTAAGGCGGGGGCGGCAACCTTATCGTTAACCAGTTTGTTGTCGACTGTCGCGGAGCATGGTAAACTATCGCACGTAGACGCTTCCTCTAGACTATCGTCGTCGATGCCAATCGTCATTGGGATAAGGTTCAAATCGATCTGTTCAGAGTCAGGACGGACACGTTATCGATGGACACAGCGGTATGAGCGGGAATCCAGCCGCGGATTACAGCGAGGGTGCGTCTCACGTATTGGCGGTGATTCATCAGATCCTGGGTCATCACAGAGCGTTGGAAGCTCGCTGGCACGCTCGAAAAGTCAAGTTGCATCAACGTCTCGCGCTAAGGTATGGCTTTTTCTTTCTCTCCGATCGACACGTTCCTCCTTTGTCTTTTCCCTTTACGTTTACAATATCCCCGCTCCCTCATCCCTCATCCCTCATCCCTCGTCTCTGTCAAGGACGACCTGACCGCGTGACCTACCGTTTTATCGCCGTTAATTCCCGTGTTCGTTCTGCGAACGTTCTCAGATTATTTCAGGAGGACGTGAAGCAAGTTCTAGACTGGTTGACCAATCACGGTGAAGTTTTCATAAGAAAGAATACTGGTGTAGGTCGCAATCTCCAAAAGGCTAGGGTGTATCAGAAGAGTCACGAACATTTCGAAAACGTCGCACAGGTAAATGCACGGACGGGCGAGAGAGAGAGAGAGAGAGAGAGAGAGAGAGAGAGAGAGAGAGAGAGAGAGAGAGAGAATACATAGATCGAGGCGAATACGAGTTATATCGATGGGAATTGTTACAGAATACATATACAAACGCTACAAAGTTGCTCACCGCTGCACAAGAGTTGGCCCACACGGGTGAATGCGCCGCCGACGAGATATACGCTGTCGCGCAAGAATTGGAGGCTCACGTGAGCAGTTTCGCGGCAAGGGTCGAACAACGTCGTCGAAGACTAGATCTGGCGGTCGTGTTTTACACCCACGAGAAAGAGGTCTTGCCTACATTGCCTACTAATGAAATGTTTGCCAGCGACGAACGAATGAACGATTCGCGTTTTTTGTATAGTTGAGCGGCTGGGTGGACGAGTTGCGGCAAGAATTGCAACAAGACGAGGTGGCGGAGAACCTGGAGACAGCGGAAAGGCTGCTGGAACAGTGCGGGCAACATCGAGCCTCGTGCATGGAAGCTTGCGCGTCGACCATCGTTCAAGGCGAGGCGTTGCTTCGAGAACTACGCGAGTCCACCGATGCTCCCGACACCACTGGTTCCGTGAGTCATCGCGCTTGGACGCGATCTTTGTTTAGCGAAGCGTAGACAAGCAGACAGACAGACAGACTGGCAGAGACCGATTACCGATTACGTTTCCATACGTTCCCGCGATAGGTATCCGCGGTGGAAGCTGCTCTGGATCGGTTAGCGGGTTTGAGACAGGAATTGGAAGAATTGTGGGCTACCAAGAAATTGAGACTCGAACTCTGTTTACGCCTGCGCGTGTTCGAGAGAGACGCTCTGGAAGCGAGTGGTCAGTTGGAAATGTGGGCGCAAGATCTGCAAGGTCCGCCTAGAGAGGGTTCTCCCGAACAACTGTTGCGCGTACACAACGACGGCGTTGCTCACATGCAAAACACCGCGTTTCAGGTTTTGCAACAGGGCCAAGAGCTCGCTCAGGTAAAAAACGGGTACGACGACGATAACGACGACGACGATGGTGACGGTAACGGAGTAATCACACAGAGTATACTTTACGTTTGATCAGGTACTGGAACAGGCGGGAGTTTGCATAATGGCGGACGGACAGCACAGTGCTGCGTCTAGGGTACAAGTGCTTCTCGAATTCCTAAACGAAAGAGAAATGGATGCCGAAGACTTGGCGGAGATCAGGAGGATTCGTTTGGAACAAGCTTCCCAGTTGGTTCAACTGCAAACCGATGCCACGCACGTTGCCAATTGGATTCGTAACGGGGAAGCGATGCTGTTGGCTTCGTTGCGAGTTCCGGAGAACCTTCAGGATGCCGAGCAGCTGCGTTTAGAGCATGAACAGTTCCAAGTCGCCATAGAAAAGACGCATACGTCGGCTGTTCAGGTGAGAAAAGATCGCGGAAGCTGGTCTCTTTCCGTAACCGGTTATTGTTCTCCGTTCGTCGAGCGATCACGCCGGTCACACTGGCCGGTCTCTTAGTCAGTCGCGCGCGCGCGCAGACAATGGCTGGTGAACGGACAATGTACGATGATCGCACGTCATGACTGCAGGTAAAGCATCGAGCCGACGCTCTCGTCGGTGCGAACCACTACGATCCGAAGAGCATAAGAGAAGTGGCCGAGGACGTGACCAAGCGGTGGCAACAGCTCGTAACGTGCGCGGAGGAGAGGCATAAATTAGTGACGGCTAGTATAAATTTCTACAAGACAGCGGAACAGGTGCGTTCCGTATTGGACAGCCTTGAACGCGAGTACAAGAGGGACGAGGACTGGTGCGCCGCCGGAGAAAAAGCTGGACAAGTACCGACGCTGGTTGGGAAACATCAAGAACAGAAGGAGGCGTTCTTGAAAGCGTGCACGCTGGTCAGACGAACTGCGGAAACGTTCCTCAAATACACGAACCGCAGTCTTCAGTTTTACAGTTATCAAGCGAACAGCGCCGGTTCGGAGGGCAAAGTGAAAAGTTAGTTTGCGATCGATCACGAACATGTGTTCGTTCAAAGATGCGCGTTACGCGCGTAAAAGATTCGTTTCAATCGACCTGGATCTAGCGTACAAGTAAGCGTGTATCTATCTGTTGGTTCTAGGTATACTGGAAGAATTGCTCAGCAAAGAGAATCGCGTGCTAGAGTATTGGACACAGCGTAAAAAGCGATTGGATCAATGTCATCAATACGTTTTGTTCGAACGAAGCGCGAAACAAGCGTTGGAATGGATCAGAGAGACCGGCGAATTGTATCTGGCCACGCATACCAACGTTGGTAAAAATCGTATCGAGAACGAACAATTGTTACGGGAACACAACGAATTCAAAGGCGCCGCCAAGGTAAATAGTGAATATTTTATGTTCATCTAATTTTCTTCTTCTTCTTCGACGACGACGACGACGACACGACACGACACGACACGACACGACACGACACGACACGACACGACACGACACGACACGACACGACACGACACAACACGACACGATTGATACGAGTGCGTGTACACGAATAGGAAACGAGGGAAAGGGTGAAATTGTTGATCCAACTGGCCGACAATTTGGTCGAGAAGGGACACGCTCACGCGACAGCTATCAAACAATCGGTTGCGGAAGTGGATCAACGGTACAAGGATTTCAGTACGCGTATGGATTGCTATAAGACCCAGATTGAAGACGACCTTGGAATTCAGTCCGACGACGGCCAGAAAGATCTTTCCATCGATCGCAATTCCGATCCTCTCCTCGAGGAGAAGATCAAAGGGAAAGATCTGAAAGAATTGAACGAGGAAAAGAGAAGATCGGCGCGTCGAAAAGAGTGAGATCTCGTTACCATCCCGTAGCTTGATACGCGCGTACTACTACTACTACTACGTAATATTTACAATGTACACGTGTCGTAGATTCATAATGGCCGAATTGCTACAAACAGAACGAACTTACGTGAAGGATTTGGAAACGTGTATTCGATGTTTCTTGGAGGAGACGCGATGCGGAAAGGGAAACGTTCCTCCCGGATTGCAGTGTCGAGAATCCGTGATATTTAGCAATATGGAAGAAATTTATCAATTTCACAGCAACATATTCCTTCGAGAGCTCGAAAAGTACGAAACGATGCCAGAGGATGTCGGACATTGCTTCGTAACATGGGTTAGCGCCTTTTTCTTCTTTCTACTCTCTGCTTTCTCCTCCCTTGTTTTTCGTAAATTTACAATTACCTCGATTCTCGGTACGGTATCTTTCTCGTCATGTCTCAGGCTCAAAAGTTTGACATGTACGTGACCTATTGTAAGAACAAACCGGAGAGCAATCAGCTGTTGGTCGCTCACGGCGGGACATGGTTCGAGGAATTGCAGAGGAAGCATCGTGTCGAACATCCGATCGCTGCCTATTTGATCAAGCCCGTGCAAAGAATAACTAAGTATCAGTTATTGCTGAAAGATTTACAGGTACGCACGCGTCTAGTCGCGGAACAAAGACGGCAGAATCCCTTTTGTCCACGTTTTAATCGTGCGCCTATCGATCGACAGGCCTGCTGCCAGGAGGGACAGGGCGAGATAAAGGACGGGCTAGAAGTAATGTTAAATGTGCCTAAAAAAGCAAACGATGCCTTACACTTGAGCATGCTGGAAGGTTGCGACGTTAGAATAGATACCCTGGGCGACGTTGTGCTCCAGGACTCGTTCACCGTATGGGACCCGAAGCAGTTGATTAGAAAAGGCAGGGATCGGCACATATTTCTGTTCGAGTTGTATCTGTTGTTCAGCAAGGAGGTGAAAGACTCCGCTGGCAAGGTAAGCGCGCGGGCGAACAAATGAAGGGGCGGTTGGGGTTACCGTGAGCGGCTGGAACGCTGACACGGTTGTACTATAACGATATACAGTTACTGTACAACGATAGTATTGTCGCGGTGCGTTGCCGACGATCAATCCCCCGCCCCCCTTTCCCCCATAGTAACGGTACTGTAACGTCGAGCGGTTCGTTTGTGGTCGCTACAGGTGAAATACATTTACAAGAGTCGTTTGATGACGTCCGAATTGGGAGTCACCGAACATATCGAGGGAGACGAGTGTAAATTCGCCGTTTGGACGGGTCGAGCACCGACCAGCGATACTCGCGTCGTCCTCCGAGCTAATTCGATGGACGCGAAGCAACTGTGGGTGAAAAGATTGCGCGAAGTCATTCAGGAAACGTATTTCAGTTTAAGTATGCCCAAGAGTCCAGCCAAGAAGAGTTCGAGTCAACGTTCCAGTAGAGACCTCGAGGAATGCGCTTCTTTGGACGACAGCGTCGAAAATTTGGATAGAAATTCCTTGGCTTCCTTCGGTTCCACCAACACGACGGACTCCGATAAGGTAAATCTCGTTGCGCTTTGTTTTTTTTACCTCGACTAACGTCGTTCGCTTTCCTCTTCGGCATATTCCTAAAACGATCTTTCGATTTTACCCCTTTCCTTCGTCGTTATCTGCTCTCTTCATTTTGATTTTGCTCCGTCGAAGATAATAAATAGCGAGCGATGGAACGGGCGAATCTGTACCGATGCTCAAGGAGGAAGGAAACAGGGAAAAAGAGCGAGCGTGAGAGAGCGAGGGGAGAGAGAGAGAGAGAGGGGCGACAGTTCCCATGTCGCTTTGGAAAGACCATCGAGCGCGTGTATACATGTACGAGTAATAACGCGTAAGAGGAAGAGTAGAGGGGACATACGTGCATAGAGATTCGCGTTCTCGTCTCGATATGTGGTCGCGCCTCGAATGTTTATCGACGACGCGATACGGCGGAAATTCGGAAAATAAATTAGCGAGAGAAATCGAATAGATGGATAAAAATGGATGATAAGAAAATTGTAAAAAAGTAGCGGTGTTTCGACAGTGGGATAGTAGCAGTCGTAGTAGTAATAGTAGTAGGTGGTAGGACGGCTGGGTGGGGTTCGAGAATAATCGAAAAGCGAGCAAGCGCATGAGGGTCAGAGAGAGGTGGTAGGGTGAGAAATAAGGTACGCGAGGGCGAGATGGAGGAGGATAGGAGGATAGACGAGGGGACCAGTAGGAGCGCGATACTCGGGTCGAATGGGTCGGTTCGATGGTGAACGATAACCGAATCGACGGACGAGTCTTTTCGAGCTCTCGAGAAACGCGAAGACGACGAAAACGAAGACGTAGACGAAGAAGAAGATCCTGTAAAGAGGGAAGCATGACACTCGTACGTTTCGCGAGACGCTCGGTCATGTCTCTTCTGTCTCGCGAACGGTCGTCGCCGCGGTGTTCCTGCACGTGAATTAAACACGAGGCAAAACTGTCATGACGTCACCAGTGGGAAAACCTGGGACGATCGCGAAGAAAACCCGCAGGAAGATATCGTTACCGTGGTTTCGCCAGAGTTCGGTGACAACGCCGCATGCGGCCCTTTCGAGGCAGCACACCATCGACACCCCGAGTTCGTTCGAGGCTCGACTTTTGCACCGACAACCCTCCCTCTCCCAGGTATTCGAGCACCCGTTCGCCCACGTACAACGTACGCGATTCATCTCTCTCTCTCTCTCTCTCTCTCTCTCTCTCTCTCTCTCTCGCGACTGTTCGTTCGCTTTCCTTAATTTCTCACCTCATTTTTCCACTCGCATCTTTTTCTAAGATCGCCCGAATATAGAGCGTAGGCGCGAAACACTATCGAAACAGACGAACGTTCGCAGAGGAGGCACGAACGCGCTCGAGCGCACGAACCTCCGAGATCTACGCCGAAATATCACGGACAAGTGAAACGGAAGTCCCTCGATGGACATGGACGACGAAGACGACGACGTCGACGACAACCTCGTCCAGTACGCGCGATCCGAGTACGCGGAAATTGCCCAATTTTCATCGAACGTCGGGGTCGCGCGTGTCAAGATTCGGGACTTTTTAATTAGCGCGAAACGTAAATACGTAAACGAGCATACGTGCACGTATGTATGTACATAGAAGGAAATGGGAGCACGTTTCGCATCCGCATCTATGCCCGCAACTGTGACTGTAGCCACATCCGCAGTGGTTTCTGCATCCGCGACCCGTGTTCCTGGTATCGCGGCGATCTCTCGTGAGACGAGGATCAACGAGGAACTCGACGCGTACTTTTACTTAAGTGCATACGTACGCTCGCGGAAAGGAATCTGCGCAAAGGGAGGAATTGCGTGATTCGCATCGGGCCAAGTTGAGATTGGCGCGATGCCGAGGTTACGCGGTGCGTTTGCCGAAGTTAGAACGCGCGTGTAAACGCGATCAGACCGACAGACACGCACAGGAGATCGTTCTCCTCGCCTGGCAAATGGGAGAACGTACGACGACGACGACGACGACGACGGAGTCTCTCGGTCGTCGAACGACAGACAGACGACGCGTCGATGAATCGCGTTACGGAACGGAATAAGTACGTCGGGATGTAAGAATTGGACGCGTCTCGCCGAAAAAACCAACTTTTATTCTCGTCGATTCTCGACGTATCTGGAGCATCGGGAGGATTAAAAGGGAATCGAGAATCGAATTTGGCACGTGGAGGAGCGCTATTTTTGTCGATGGAATGCGACGCGAAAGCGGACGACTTCGGCCTGGCTCTCGATCACGATTCTGATTTTACGGATTCTAGCAGAGTCGTGTATTCTTATCGTCGGTGTACATCGTACAAGTGCGTTAACATTGTCGATGCTTCGAAATCAAGAAAGCCACCCGTGAATCGGGGCGAATCATCGCTGGGTGCGGCACGAAAGATAAATATTCGATCGCGATAAGGTATAAAAATCGCGGATCATATCGTCGTATCTCGTTGCGTCTATTTATCGTAGTATTTTCGAAAAAGAGCTGGTAAGAGCCTGTGCTCTCTACGCGTCTTTATCGAAGACACACGCGCGCGGGCTATTTCGATCGAATCAAAATCGTTGAAGCTAAAATAATTCGTTGAACGGTCCATTGAACCGCAAAGTCAAAGACGACCGGTGCGCGGTGTTCCATCAATTTGCTGTACTCCGCTCCTCCTCCTACTCCTTCTTCTCCCCCTCCTCCTCCGCGTTCGTTTTCCTTCTTATCTTCTTCCCTCGATCGATCGCAACTAAACATGTTTCTCGCGTTGTCCTCATTTATCACGCGTTTCCTCGATTATTTTCTATCCTTGGTGTCAGCTTCGCCGGCGGTCGGTAATCGTCCGATCGATTAAGATAGAGCGAATTCGAATTTCGACCTGATGATTTTAGACTGGAGTAGCCGAAGTGACTTGGGTTATTGCGGATCACTCGGCGGCACCCGGCTCGAAAGAATTGACCGTGACGAAGGGTCAGCAAGTCGAGGTATTGGAGAATGGTATTACCATCAGCGGCGCGTCTGAGTGGACCCATGTGCGTTTGCTTCTTGCTCCGGGACAAGCCGATCCCCCGCCGGAAGGCTTGGTTCCGACAAGCGCGCTCAAGCAACCGCCCCCGGTTTCCAGTAAAACTTCGCCATCCAGAAAAATTCCGGCCCATCACTATCACCAACAGCAACAGCAGCAGCAGCAGCAGCAACAGCAGCAGCAACAACAGCATTGTCAGTCATCGAGCAGCCAAATTCAGTCTGTCTCGTACGGAGTATCGAGTGGAGGAGTCGCGACGATTTCCTGCACGGCAGCAGCGGTAGGATCTGTGACAGGCGTACCGCCGCCGCCCATTGGATCCTCTGTTCAGAATACAACATTCGTCGACGATGCAGGTAAAAACACGTTTACTAAACCATAAGTAATTCCGTAATGTGCGATAGAAAAAGTTGTTGGAAATGTCCTGAAATCGAAATGTTAGAAAGAAAACGGGTTAACGAAATGAGCACGGCTTAAATTAGAAACAAAGTCGTTGTTGAATCGGTTCGGCGATTTACCTATGTATGCACATATCGGTTGTTCGATGGACGCCGTCGGTCGCGTTGGATCGATGCGCGTACGTAGATATCGATGTGACCGTATCGTCGTTGACCATGGTCGAGTATTCGCACGGAGAGAGATCGAAAGTATCGGCGGTGATATGGTCGTGGTAGGTTCGCGAGCAATGGGCAATCGGATTCGCGTTAATGACGATTCGTTCGTGTCAAGAATCGCGTTCGAAAGAGAGAGGCAGAGGGACTAACGACGAATACGCGTGCCTCGCGTAACAACGAATCGTATGCGTCGTATCCGAATCGTTGATCGAAGTTCAACAGCGTCTTTACGGCCTAGTACGTAAGGATACGATTCGATTCGTAATGTACAGAGGGTATTCGTCTCGATCCAACAATTTATCCTGCTGCCGTATCGTCATTTACAGAACACGTTGCCGCCGGAAACGATGGTAGCAGTAGCAGTAGCAGCAGTCTCTGTGCCGCTAACACGAATTCACCGGGCAACAAAAGACGCGGGTTCAGTGGGTAAGCGGTCGCGCGTATAACGGAACCAGCTACGTAACGACGAACGTATCGATGATGCGCGTGCACGTTAACGAGGTGAGCTTGTTTCATTCCGCAGGAGGAAGTGGCTTCCACAACCATTGCGCAAGCTCAGTCAAGGTAAAGTAGAGAAATCGGCACCATCGAGCGTAACGGCACAAGGACCGACGTCGGCCGAACGAGCTGCGACTGCTGCCGCCGCCGCCGCTTCTAAGAAAAACGTCTCCGAGAAACGATTTAAACTGCCGAGCGGCAGCGGCGAGCAAACGCGACCATCGAGAACTGCTTCGGTACCCGTTTCCTCATTGACTGCTGCAACCGCGTCTATGCGCGTGTCGGAGGCGGACGGCGACGTCGAACTGCTACGACCGGGAGCCGAGGCGGAACCGGAACCGGAAGCGGAAGGAGAGGAAGCGGAGATCGAGCAATCGGAACCTTGGAACGACTTGGAAGAGGGTGTGCGAGAACTGGACGACGACGTCGAAACTCTGACTTATTCGGAACAGAACGGAGCGGACGATGCCGAAGACGATTTGGAACTTCCACCGCCTATGAAACCCATCACCGAACCGATACTCGTGGCCACTGCTAACGGTGGAGCTTCGGGATCCGCGATCGCAACCGAAACCTGTGGCAAGTCTCGAGTGAGTAACTGCTGTTTGTATTTCGTTTCTTTCCCTGCCCCCGCCTGCCTCGCTTCCTTCCTTCCTTCCTTCCTTCTCGAAATTCGAACGGAATGGAAGAGACGTAAATTGATTTAATCGATTGCCTAGGCGCCTGGAAGATCGGCCAAGATTATTGACGGTGGTGCAACGACTGCAGATTTAGCCGAGATCGAACAGATCGTGAAAGAAAGGATGGTAAGTATTTTTTCTATCGTACGCCGTGTAGCGTGTTTACGCGTACCAACGATATTTTTGCGTAGGAACAACATACGGAAAATCAAGAGAGACAAAGCTTGATGCGTACGCCCAGCGGTAAAAGCTCGAACGTCGATAACGATGAGAGTTGCTCGTCGACGCCGACGACTACCATCGGCACCTCTGGTACAGTGCCCGGAACGGCGGGAACTGGCGTCGGGGCCGGCGTCAGTGCTGTTACGGATGCTGGTGCTTGCGGTTGCGCTGGCGGTGAAACGGGAACGACGACGACGACGACGAATAGTCCTCAGGCTCGTGGAAGTCAGGAGGAATGCGATCCGGAAAACGCGGCTCTCGCGAAACGGCAGTTCGTTATCCGAGAATTGGTCGAAACTGAAAAAGATTACGTCAATGATCTGAAACAAATAGTCGAAGGATACATGTCGTTCATGCGAGATCCCGACTGCGACGTTCCGTTACCGGATGATCTGCGCGGCGGTAAGGACAAAATGGTTTTCGGCAACATAGAAGCGATCTACGAATGGCACAGAGAGTAAGTTCCGTTTCTCATACTGTCGTCATACTTTTTGTCTCTTTTCTCTTCGTTTCTCTCTCTCTCTCTCTCCCTTGTCCGATCGTAACTTGTTTCGAACCATCGCCGCCGCTGCTGTCGCCGACCCGCTCAAACTTGGCGTTCTCTCGTTTTCCTCACAGTTTCTTCTTGAAAGCTTTGGAACGTTGCCTGGAGCGGCCGGAAGAACTCGGTCCGTTGTTCAAGCGATACGAAAGGAAATTGCACATGTACGTCGTCTATTGTCAAAATAAACCAGTGTCCGAGTATATAGTTTCGGAGTATCTGGACAGCTACTTCGAGGTAGGTTAAAAAAAAACATATCTTTCCATCAACGATCCGTTTACGTATGTTTCGAACGCGTTTTCATTATCGTCGCCGTCGCCGTCGTCGTCGTCGTTTTCTTCTGGTTGCAGGAGCTGAGGCAAAAACTCGGGCATCGATTACAACTGTGCGACCTGTTGATAAAACCGGTTCAAAGGATCACGAAATATCAACTTCTCCTTCGCGAGGCGTTAAGACTCACGGAACGAACGCGAAGAATTTCGGAGATCGATGGGCTGAGAGCCGCGGTTCACGTGATGCGTGTCATTCCAAAAGCGGCCAACGACATGATGGACGTCGCGAGACTGCAAGGTTTCGACGTGAGTAAGAGAGTGACGTCGCGTTGCGTTTCTTCCTCGACGTTCGTCGACAGGCTCCTCTTCCATTCATAATTTCGTCGTTGCTTATTTACGCTGTCTGTGTTCTGATCACTGTCACACAGGGCAAGATCACCGCGCAAGGAAAGTTATTGTTGCACGGACCACTGACAGTGTCCGAGTTGTCGTCGAACTTACAAAGCAAAGGAAAAGAATGGCAAGTCTTCCTTTTCGAACAAAATATTATCTTTAGCGAGGCAGTCGGAAAGAAGACGCAGTTTACGAGTCCCGCTTATATCTACAAAGCCCATATACAGGTAAAGAACGACCATCACGATCATCATCGAGCGACGCGAACAGAAGCGATCGAGTATCGCCTCGAGATAGGTGACGCGAGCATCACCTAAGTAAAACCGATGAAATTTTCGTTGACGCAGGTGAATAAATTGAGTCTGGTGGAATGTTACGACGACCCGGAAAGATTTGTGATCCGATCGACGGACCCCCGTAAACCGGGACTCGGATTCTCTTGTAGTACGATAGAAGAAACTGGGCCGCGGAAGCAGGAATGGGTAGACACGATCACTGCCATCCTGCAGACCCAACGCGACTTCCTCAAGGCGATTCAGTCGCCGATCGCCTACCAGAAGGAACTTACCAAAGATCCATTGTAAGCGACACTCTATCTAAAATAACACACACAGACACAGACACACACACACACAGACACACACGCGCGCCAAATTATATTCGCTCTCTTTCGACGCTCGAACCGTAAAGACTCGTTCCGAGGTATTTTTATATAATATATATAGGTACGGGAAAACTCCGTACGCTAGGGAGAATCGTAGTCGTCTTGTGCGAACCGGAATCCGTTTTCATCCGTGTTTCCCTTTCTTTCGACTTCTACTACTCCTCCTCGCAATTTTCGTAGCCTCTCTTAGCCACGGTCACGATTCACGCTCGAATCGTTTACATGCACACAAATACACACACGCGCGCGCGCGTGTACACGAGCGTCGCTTCCTCTCGTTTGCCTTAACATCGCAGTCGATGAATCTACCTCGCTATCGCTGCAGAGTAGCTTTCCCGCGGGACTACAGTTTACTACGTTCTATGACAATTACCTACCTCCCTTCGAGTAGCTTTTAACGTGGTAGAACCGTGTTTGCCGTGGTTCGTTCGTTCAAACTTTGCGCTATTTCTATACACGCGGATACCGTACGGTACGATACGATACGATACAGTGCGCTACTACAATGCGATGCAATACTATACGATTACGATTACTATTACAACTACTATTATGATTACGGTACGACGATACGAACGATCTATTATTTCTCGGCTATTCATTCGTACGTCTGTGCGCAATGATGGGGGTAGGTATAGCAACGTGTATCCACTCGTATCCTCGCCCCCATTATTCCCCGTTTACATTTCATTTACCCTAAACCGAAAGTAGAACGAACGATAACAAAGTGAAAAAGCGTTGATCGGTTGCATGCTTGTTCTATTGCTCGATTGCATGTATCGTTTTTTCGTGCATACGTGCGTTCGAGCGAACGAGCGAGAGAGAAAGAGAGAGAGAGAGAGAACCGAGACAGATAAGATGCGATTGCGTGCGTTTACGGAAGAGTGTGGTGGTGGTGGGGGTGAGGCAAACTTTCTTTTACGGAATCTATAAGTAAAGCGTGAAATGATGCCTGGTGGTCCGAAAATGATCGTATTACACCGTCATACGTACAACGAACCGCCGCCGATCCGCGTACAAGCCCTCTTATATCTATCTGAAATCCCCTTCCCCCCTCCCCCTTGGAGGAATCGAGTGGTACGCCTCGCGCGATAACGAACGACGAAGAGGAAAAAACACCGTGAGAGAAAGAGATAGAGTGAGATAGAGATAGCACGTTGAACGGTTTGGCTCATCCTCACCGGAAACGTATATTACCCATTAACGACGTAACGTTACGGATGTATAATAATGATATAACAACAATAACGACGACGGTAATTTTAATAATGTTTATAAACACACGGCGAAGATTAGTATATAATGTATACTGTACATAAATGTGCGTTCGCGCGTAAACAGAGAACGCAAAGTAAAACCAAAAACTAATGATTCAAGAAACGTAAGCATTTTATTTAGAATAAAATTGTACATTGATCAAGATCGACGTGTGATGCGTGTCCTTTCCCACGCCTATTTACATGTACTTTTAACACTCCCCGCTATCGATCGTTCCAAACTAACAGCTTCTTTTTTCTTATCGTTTAACGAGAATGACAAGGTACTGCATCGTTGGTACGAGTTTCTTCGGTCGCGTCGAACGTGTACCGTGACCGTGACCACCGTGTGTACGCGCGTGAGCACGCGTACGCAAAGTAGATACGCGTTACGCGAATCGTACTCGTTGTAGTCCTCGTTCCCAGCCTCGCAACGACGACGACGACGACGACGACTCGATACGCGAAAGAGAAGCGATGAACCGCGTACGATAGATGCAGTACCGTGTATCAATTTCATTTATGATTTGCTGGCGTACAGTCGTGGCGTGAGTCCGGAATCTCCGTGTCGAGGCAGCGTACATTCGTCGCCGCTCGCGGCGAGCACCAAATGTAAAGTGCACGAAGAAGAAAGAAACGAAACTGGTGGTGGCTGCGGCTCTGGTTCGAGAATGCATTCGATGAACACCGCGCCTCCATCTCCGTCTTCGTCCTCGACCTCGTCTCTACCATCGTCATCGTTCCCGTCGCCGTCGTCCTCGTCGTCCCAACGACCTCGCGTCGCCGGAAACTTGGGGGATCAGGATCAATCCTCGCGAACGCCGAGCCCCAGCAAGAGCAGACTCAATTTTCTCGAGGGATTCAGAAGCACGCTTCGACCTCGATCGCCTGTTCGCAACAATTCTATTCCGGTGAGCTGAACAATTTCGCTGTATTTAAATAATTATACTTTGTAGAACGCGTGAACTCGTCATCGATCGATTCTGGAATTGTCAGTTGGCCTCTTGCAGCGTAAAAGGAGGACTCTTTTCTTTTTTTCACTCACGATGCCTGTCTCTCTCTTTTTATCGTCTTTGCCTAATAATCGTAAGTCTATCTCCTCTTTGTTCGCCGTCGCCGAACGAATTTCTGATCAGTACCACCGGTACCATCGTACGCGACGCAATTTTCTCGCCCCACCACCCTTGCAATCCGTTCTCGTAGAAATCTATCCACCTACCCCACCCTTTCTGTCTCTATCGCCCTTTGCTAGCTTGGTCGCAGACGCAGATGTCTCGGGCATGTACATTGAAAAAAAACGGCTTGTCTCGCATCGCGACGCAATCGCTGAGAGGAGTACGAACTCTGTCGGTGAGGATAGTCGGCGCTAACGAACGTGATACACTGCGCGAGAGAGGATGCGAACTGGGTTCCATGCAGCCGGCGGCGTAGTAGATATCTATTACTGTGCAATGGGGTGTTTCACAGCAGCAGCAGCAGCCGCCGCCGTCTCGTGATGCATGATCCGAGAAAATGAGAATGAAAGGGAGGGAGAGAGTGAGAGGATGGTTAGTGGGTGGAAGTGGGTTGTAGGAGAAGGTAGAAAGAAGAGAGGGAAGAGAAGAGAGCCACGAGGGTCGGGCATCGAGTTAAATCGGAGATTCGGTAGATCGTTGCAGGTAGCAGAGTAAGATTAACAGCGGATTGGGACAAGTTGCGCGCCGGCGAAGAGATGGAGATCCTCCGAGTGGACGGTCCGGGACTGATGGTCTGTCCGATAGTCGGAAAAAGGGAAGAATTCTGGATCCCGGCGAGCCTCGTTCCGAATTCATCGTTCAGTCGCGCATGGTCTTTTCGTCCGCGGAGATGCGATTCCGAGGGAGAGAGCGTCCGTCTTCCGCGAGACGAGAAACGAGCGGAAACGAACGGTCCTCCCGTGATCTTGACTATTCCGTGTTCGATCAGGGCAACGGCCGGTGGCGTGGCTCGGCTCGCGCTGGAAGCACGCCAAGTGGAACGAGCGACCGTCTCTTGGAGAAAGGAGGGCCAACCGTCTGACATCCAGCCGACCGAACGATATCGACTCTTACGAACGACCGATACCCTTTGTCTCGAAATCGCTCCCTGCCTTCCTTCTGACTCCGGGATTTATTACTGTCGCGTGCACCACGAAACTGGTTCTTGTACAGCCAGGATTCCACTTCGCATCGTAGGTAGTTATGTACCGCCAATCCTAATTTTTTCTAACGTCTGTCGTGTACGTACGCGCCGTTAAGACGAATCCGTTTTTAACCATCGACGATTTACTTGTTCCCGTGCGCAGGTATCGAGGCGAGAATGGCGAGAAACGCGTGGAGCGACGACGCGGGCGCGCGCGAAGGATCCGTGACGAAGGAAATCAGCTCGAGAGATCGACTCATCGTCGATGACGGCGAGGACGATGACGAAGACAACGACGGCGGCGGCGACGGCGGCGGATACGTGGAGCTGGAAGAATTGGGAGTCGGTAGATTCGGCAAAGTGTGCCGAGGCAGACGAGCCTCCGGAGAGTTTGTGCGAGAAGTAGCATTGAAGCAGATATCGAGGTCGAAGCAGCCTGTATCATTGACGCATGCCGAGTATCGTCTTCTTCGAAACATCCGTCACGATAACATCGTCGAAGCGATCGCTCTCTTGGAGGGTACTCCTCGATCGGACATCGATACCATCGTCTTGGAGTTGTCAGTATCTTTTTCTTTTAGTTCGTTCCTTTCTTTCGCGGATCGCGAGGACAGTGAACGATGATCGAATCGATCGATGGCTTGGTCTTCGCCTTCGCACGTCCACCATCATTCCTTTCCATTCTTCTTTTTTCCGCTGCTTTCAGGGTGAAGGGGCCGACGTTGTTCGCGCATTTTGCCGAACAAAACGAGTACACAGAAGCGACTGTCGCGAGGTACACCGGTCAATTGATGTCCGCGTTGCAGTGGTTGCACTCGCGCGATTGCGTTCATTTGGATGTGAAACCGGAAAACGTGTTGATCGATCGCGTGACCGATCGAGCGAAACTGATCGATTTTGGCGAGGCTGTGAGGGCAATACCACCGCTCGACGAGGTAGTTCCACCCGTGGACTTGGAGTTCGCAGCTCCGGAATCGGTACTCGGCAAACCAACGGGCTCGTACACGGACATGTGGGCTGCCGGTGTTTTCCTTTACGCGTTTCTAAGGTACGTGCGAAACGATTCGCGTTTGATCGAACCATGCGTTTTACCATCGACCGATCGATTCGCAGCGGGCTTTCGCCATTTTTGGACGATTCTGTCGAAGAGACGACTACGAACATACTCAAATGCGATTTTTGCTTTCCCGATGAATATTTCGCGGACGTATCGGACGATGCAAAGAACATTCTCGGGAGGCTGCTGCGTTCGCGAGGAGAAGACAGATCGACCGCCCGAGCAACATTGACGTCGTCTTGGTTCGAGGTACCGATCGGCGACAAAACGTTTGCTCTCATCCCTGTTTTTCTTTTTATTTTTAAATTGTTCGAGCAGTATCAAAATTGTACTCTTCCTTTTTATTTTACTTTCGTTTTAGATACCAGTGGGTGCAATTATTCCTTCCTCCCGAATGGCTGCCTTCAACGACCGTCGCGCTCACCGTTCGACGCCACCGCCGCGACAGGATCGGAACAGCAGCAGCAGCGGCGGTAGCAGCTGCTATTCTTGAATCGGCATCGTTCGCGAAATGATTCCGTTCGTCGATGACGATCGATCGAAAGGGTAAAGAATACCGAATCGCGAACGATACTGCCGCGCTCGACACGCGTCACAGATAATTGCATTTATCCGCGGTGATTCTATACTCCTTACGCGCGCGCGTATTTACCTCGAGCCGAATCGTCTGGCTCGTGCGAGACTTGTCTTCGGATCTACGCCACGATCTCTCGCGTAGACGTAGCTTTTGTCATTGGAAATTGTGGTGGGTGCTACGTTTAACTTTCACAACTTGAAAATTCCTCGTTTATTTTACAAATTACACGCGTTACATCGGTCGAATGAAAATAAATGGACTGCCTCGTGTAACAGGAAATGACAGAGATTCGATGGGGCTCGGTACGAACGATGCGCTTTGACATGTTAATAAAGTGATTTTCATTTTCATTTTCGTGTCTTTTATAATTGTCGAACTACGAATCTGAGAGTACGGTACCGATGTTTGGTCGTTTTACTTCGGTGTCACGTTCGATTTCTCGTTTCCTTTTTACATGCACGGTACGCCCGTGCCGAGCGTACACATGGGACGATGGACCTAGTGTCGATACCGTATATATCGTATTAAAATCCAAGTCCTCTCCCTTTCCCTCTTCGGGGATATGGACTCAACGGGGGTTGTGCGCGATAATAAAGTCGAATTCGAAATTTTTACCTTGGAGATATTCTCAATCGTTTGCAATGATCGAGTACGTGCTGCTCGTATTCTTCCGAGGAAACGAAAGACTTGTTGTCGCAAAGAAGACACGTCGCGTCCTTCCTGTTCATCGAATGACGACGCATCCGATGTATGCCGAGTTCCATCGTGTCCTGCATCCGCTCGTTGCAATCCGGACAAGTCACTGGCGACGATTCACGACCAGCCGTCACCGCAACGGCGTACGTCGATCCGGGGCTCCCCTCGACCCGAATCTCGTCGACATCCTTCGACGGTTGTTGCTGCGACGAACACGAAGCTGCCTTGTCGTCTCTTTTCGTATCCACGAATTCGAGGTGCGGGCAAAGAGATGCGACGGAGGTCGTCGTTTCCGTCGTTCGTGGAACGTCGTTGTCGTTACCGTCGTCATCGTGGCCACCGCCGCCACCGTCGTCATCATCATCGTCGTCGTCGTCGTCGTCGTCCTCGTCGTCGTCGTCGTCGTCGTCGTCCTCTCTGCGAACTGTCGCACATTCGCTCGCATCCTGTTTCGAAGGACTGATAGACGTCGATGAAAGCGCATTTTGCAGATGCTGACATTTGCTCACGTGTTCCTTCAGTACTCGCTTGAGGGAAAATTCTGCTCGACAGTGCTCGCAGCTATATTTCCGGCGATGCCCGTGACATAGGCTACGATGATTCGAAAGCGTGACCTCGCTCTCGTAACGAGTCAAACAATTCGAACACATGTAACCGCCGATAGTTTCGGAATGATCCTGGCCCGACAAGTGCGTTTGCAACTGATGCTCGAATCGAAATGGCTGTTCGCAAAAGTCGCAAGATACTCGTCGTTCGGTCTCCGTGTCGCGATCCGCTGCGTCGTCCACCAACTTCGATTTATCCTTCTCACAGATCTCGACGACCTTGGGGATCTCGGTGGTCCCGATGGACTCGTTCGTCTGGCTCGTCACGTTCGTCTCGGTCTCGACCTTCACTTTTATTTCTATTCGGTTTGACTCTTCGTTGGCCGTTGTTACCTGATGGTTTGATGGCTGCGACGTCGCTATAGTTTCCGATTCGACGATCTTTTGCGGTTCCGGTTTCTTTTTTCTTCCGTACACCTTGGTCACCGTTTGCAGTCGAGGAGCGACCCAGTACCTCTGATCGTTCATCACCTTCAACACGTCTGACCAGTCGAGTTCCTCGTCGCTGCGGCAGGTATCGGTGAGCAAGGAGAATACTGTGTCGACCGAGCGCTGTTGCTCGACTCCACCATCGGTCATGTTTTGCGATTCGTTTCCGAGTACAATCGTTTCGTCCAGCCTGGTTTCATACATCGCTGCCGCCGCCGTCGCGTTGTCGTTCAGATGCGAATTACGAGCCGCGACTGGCACATACCCCGATCTTTGTCTAGCCCTCGCTCTCGCGGCATAACCCCTCGATCGTGGTCGTCCACGACCGCGTCTAAAGATACCGCGGGTAGCTTTCGGAGCGCGGTCTTCAAGTTGCTGCAGCTGCTGTTTTTGTTGTAGTTGTCGCAGTTCCTCCTCCTTCTCTCTTTGTTGTTCGTTTCGCATATGCTCGCCGATTGAATCGAGCGGCTTTCTGGGCGCGATACTCGATCGCGTGCTCGGAAACACGTGGCGCAACGTATTATCGGCAATGTAAATCTGTTGAAAAAACTTGAACGATTGTTCTAACTTGTCGACGCATTCGTCGCACATCTTCGTTGGTAAAGCGTCTCCATCGTCGATTTCTATCAACAACTTTAGCTTGGACAAAAGATTCATGTCCGTGCTTTTTCCCCTGCTCGTCATACTAACAAGATTTTCCTTTTTAGTCGCGCATGTTCTACACCATTGATCCACTTCGAATTCCGATGGAGGATTTTTCTCTGCGATTCGGTTCGTACTAGCTACCTCCATAGAACTTTCTTGACCGTTCAACTGAATTTTCTGAAACCAAACAGTTATTCTTTCGTACATCGTTGTTCTCAGCGTACACGATAAGTACGAATCGGCATCTCTCGCACAGCAAAGAATCACGTATGAAGCAGGGAGAAGATGTAAGTATGAATAATTTCGGTAAAACTAGCAGTCCTGGTAATCGAATGGTACCTACCCGTCGCGTTTTCAGGTTCTTCGATCTTCTCGATACGGCACTCCAATGCGGGAAAGGTACGGCATTTTCTTTTAAAGTGCCTTTGCTCAGGTAACAATCCTCCGTGAAATGATTATTGCAGACGAAAAACTTCATAGACCGTAGAGCATCCAAATCGCTTCCGATGAGATCCACGTGACCACTGTTGATCAGCCACCTCACGCAGAGACCGGTATCGCAAACGGGTAGTTCGTGAAGTATTTGCTCCTTTTCGCGAGTGTCGACACAATCGATGTATCTACATTTGGTCACCTCTTCCATTACTCGTAGTCGCCGATTCGACAACGGTCAACCGAACGTTAATCGATCACAGGGAATATCAATCAGAAGTCCGTCTCCTTACTACCAACAACTATTCGTCTTTCTTTACGAACGGGTCGTCGTTACCTGATCGTATTCCTTTTCCCCGTGCACTGCTGACAAGTACAACGCTCGTACGCTCGTAACGTAGAACGTCGAAACACTATCCGTCCAGTAAACTTATAACTTAAGCTTAGACATGACTAAGGCGCGAAGGTAAAGGTAATTAATAATATGATACATACTACCGTTGCTTGTATTCGTGCATGTATCGGACTATATGAACGACATGACGTGCATGCACTGTGTGAAATGCGCCAAGTGGTCAACTTCGGGCCATTCATTATATACATATAGCGCCATCTAGCGTTCACGACCGCGAGCCCGCTTGGTTCCAATCACGATCTTATAGACCGTGGTTCCAATATTCTAAACCTAACCTAAGCCTTAGAAGAAAGCCTACTTGTGAGTGTGCAAGAGATCATCCCCATGGACCTACCCTTAGGTCCATGACCAACCCTCATGATAATATAGAATACTCTTATATAGATTTCCTGAATGACATCAACAACAAAATGTTAATGTTTTGTATTTTTCAATAAAGTACAAATATTTTATAACCTTAATGCTTAGTAAGATATTTTTCTCAACACGCGCCATTAGAGAAGGACAGGCGGAGCTTGGATCTCTCTTTCTCTCTCTCTCTCTCTCTATCAAAAGAGACACGTTTTGGCGCGGGCGGTGCGGATCACTGCGGATCACCCTTATCCTCACCTCCTTTGTGTGTATTGTCTGTATGGCTAAAATGGTCGGGCTTCGGGCTCATCTCTGGTCTTCTCGTAGCTCTCGTTTTGTGCTCATCGTCTCGTGCTCGTTTTGTGACCTCGTTGTGTTCTGACAAGAACGCACGAGGGTTACTAAAAAGTCGAGCTGTTACATATCGAGCTTAATATTATCATATGCGCATTAGTCTCAAGCCTTGAACATGCATTGATTCGCACATCGACCTTTTCTTTCTGCCGTCAGCTTCAGCTGTACTCAGCTGTACTATATCTACGTCTACGACGTTGTTAGAACGCATCGCGATCGGTTAAAAGCTCGTCGACGAAAAGAAATTGAAAGAAACATTTTGATGTGACCGATAACGATGGCCGGAATATTTGACATAGAGTTACATGACGACGAGGACGGCATCGTGAATCAGAACGAGTCGGACGACGATATCGCCGATAGCAAACAAGTTCGTCTGCTCTTATACTCTTTGAGGATCATTAAGAATTTTCAGGCTCGGTTCATTCACGTATTTCGTTCTATTTTCCAGGACGAATATAACCACGCTACAAATATAAATAGCATATTAGTAGAGTAAGTGTCGTTCATTCTCTTTTTAAACGTATCGATTCATTCGTTTCGTCTCGATTGGATCGTATTTAGCGAACGACGTCGATCGATCCGTGGTTCGTCCACGAATTCTGTACATTCGGACGATACGTTCGATCTACAAGTGTTACTACGGCGTTAAGCCAACTGTTATACGAATGGAAAGAAACGATATTTTTGGTCTCGGTTCCAGGTCCGACAGTAGTTTGGAAAGGGTACAATTGTCGGAGCAAAATGTGAATGCAGGCCAAGAGAAAGCCGGTCCGCAGGACTTTGAATTGTGCAAAATTTTAGGAGAAGGCGGCTACGGGAAGGTGTTCCAAGTGAAGAAAGTAACTGGAAAGGACAAAGGCAGTATCTTCGCTATGAAGGTAGACGTTCGAGCCATTCGCGCGGTTGTCATCGGTTTTCATTTCCACTTGTACCATTTCTTCTTTCTCCTGGCAGGTATTAAGAAAAGCGTCTATCATAAGAAATCAGAAGGACACGGCTCACACGAAGGCCGAAAGAAACATTTTGGAAGCGGTCAAGGTAGGAACATAAATAATGAATCGTTTTGGCCAGATAACACGATCGATCCGTCCTTACCCTTTCGCGTTCTTCGTTTCAGCATCCATTCATCGTGAACTTGATGTACGCGTTTCAAACCGGTGGTAAATTGTATCTGATTCTGGAATATCTTTGCGGAGGAGAGCTCTTCACTTACTTGGACAGAGAAGGCATCTTCTTGGAAGACACGGCTTGGTATCTATCAATCGATCTCTCTATTGATTCTTAATTTCATGCGAACGTCCCATGCGGTCCGTTCTAGCGGAGTAAATAATAAAGAAGGCAACTTCAATGTGTGCATTTACATTTGTAGTTTCTATTTGTCGGAGATTATACTCGCTCTTCAACATCTCCATGATCAAGGTATCATATACAGGTACGATAGATTTTTGATTAGTTGACAGAGGCATGAAATTGGCTAGAAACATGATATAGGATATTGGTGCAAAGTGCGAATGATCACCAGTTATTAATAACCATGTTCAATCGACCTTCCCAGAGATTTGAAACCGGAGAATATTTTATTAGACGGCGAGGGTCACGTTAAATTGACAGACTTTGGTCTTTGCAAAGAACATATAGAAGAAGGTACAGTAACGCATACATTTTGCGGAACTATAGAGTACATGTAAGTAGAAAGTTCCTATTTCCGTTAACTCGCAAGTTCGTTGTTCGGTCGCGAGCGAGCGATACACGTTACGCGATACATGTATACGCGAACGCGATTGGACGATATATACGCGTGTGCACGATTTTACGCGCGCCGATCATCGATACAAGGTTATCGAGTTTGATCTCGTTCAGGGCGCCGGAAATTTTAACCCGAAGCGGACACGGGAAGGCGGTCGACTGGTGGAGTTTGGGTGCTCTCATGTTCGACATGCTTACCGGAATGGTACGTGAACAATAAATTCATTATAATTATTGACGAACGTATTACGAAACGAAAGGGCCGTTCGTTCGATATCCGGCGTTCTTTTCCCTTCCTTTTTTTCCGTTTGTTTTTTGCTTACAGCCACCGTTTACAGGGGACGATAGAAGAAAAACAATCGAGAAAATTCTACGTGGAAAGTTGAATCTCCCGTTGTATCTAACGCCGGACGCGAAAGATTTAATACGAAGATTGTTAAAGGTGAGCAGTGGCAGCAGCAGCAACGCTCTACCGCCTCGCTCACATTACTCATCTTATTATTCGTCGCATCTCTGTTCGTTGATGATCGTTGATTCCAGAGGCAGGTATCGCAAAGACTGGGATCGGGACCCGAGGATGCCGAACAGATCATGAATCACGCGTTTTTCAAACACATAAATTGGCAAGATGTAGTCTCGCGTAAACTGGAACCACCTTTCAAACCGTCGTTGGTGAGCATACGTCTGTCAGTCGGTCAGCCAGCTGGCTCGAGCGAGAATCAATCCCATTTACGAAATTACGTGCACGCACGAATCGTGTTTTTAGAAAAGTGCCGATGATACGTCGCAGTTCGACGAACAATTCACGGCGACCGTGCCAGTCGATTCTCCAGCCGAAAGTACATTGAGCGAATCCGCCAATATGATCTTTCAAGTATGTGTCGCGTCACGTCACGCCACCTTTCCCGACGTGTCCGATTCCGCATCGAAACCGCATTCAACGATACCGATCTTTCGTAGGGTTTTACGTACGTAGCACCCAGCGTCTTGGAGGAGATGTGCGCTCAACCGAGGATCGTGAATGCCAAAAGCCCGCGAAAGAGTCTCGCCGGATTCGGTGGGAGTCACGGTCACGGTCACGGTCACGGTCACGGTCACGGTCACGGCTACGGCCACGGTCACGGTCACGGACACGGACACGGACACGGACACCGTTTCTCTTCGAGATCACCCGACGCGCATCTTCGCGCAACCTCTGGTTTTCACCAACAAAACAGGTGTGTGTGTGTGTGTGTGTGTGTATAAGAAGAATCTTCCGAAAGCTTGCACCACGCGAGAGCACACTCGGAGAGATCTTTGCATTCGTCCAATTTTTTTGAATAGCAGGCAACACCACGCGATCGCTTCGAACAACGTGGCGATGGAAGATACCGACATGAGTGACACGGTTCCTCGGCGTCCGAACTTGTAAACGGTGGGTCGACAAATTCGACGGTACCGTACGGAAGATTCGAAACGCGCTATCGGCGACGCATCGTAGATCGACCGTTGTCGATGTTATTCGTCCATCGACGACGCTTACGAAAGACGGCAGCAGTACCACTACCACTACTATTTTTATGCGAAGCGAAGCGACGTCAGCGTCAGAGAGTGCTGCAACTATTTGCAGCATGGAAACAAGTAAGATTCATCGTAGATTCGCGTTACGCGGTAGAAACGTGTATAACTTTCTGATAACGCGATGTACAGCAAATACATTTCACTCGAATGATAGACATCGGAGTATCGGACATACATACGTAGCTGAACGTTATCCGCGATTACAATTTATTCGTTTTAGACTTACCGTGTATTTACAGCCGCAAAGAGGAAGACGAGTGATGAAAAGATTGCGTGCATGCGATTTTGTGTGTGTGTGTCTGTGGTATGCGCACGCACGGGCCGTGCGTGTGAATTGAGTGACGAAACCAAGTAATTTAGCAGTGTACAAATAAAAAATTGTATTTATCTTTTTTATAGTAGTGAAGAATCAGCATTATAGATTAATAAAATATATATATATATATATATATACGTATACAATATTAATTTGTAATCTACTCAATACGTAACAAGGTGGAAGAAATAAACCGCAAGAAAGTTTTGCTCTTAGACAAAAGAAGAGACTCGAAAATCAAACGACGATACATCGAAATATACGAAAAAATTTATAACAGGATTTTCATTGTAGTCTCATTCATTTTATTTACACGTGTTTCTCGTATAATGTGCCAAAAGAACGACGATAAATACACGCGATTAGTCATGATTCGATTCGAATTCGAGAAACGTCAACTCGATTTCATCGCATCACATCATTATTTTTACGACAGGCGTACAGACAGGGGCTAACTCAAACTGCCCTGGCTGGCCGTAGTCCCTCATCGTGCACAATTGATGCATGCGCCGACAGTTCAACGAGCATGAAACGCGCACGTGTAGTACACATCATAATAATTAACATTAGATTCGAATAATCGTAACAGCGAAATTTTACAAACAAGAAACAGATATCCTGGAAGATAAGATATACGTATCTTTCGTTTCTTCGAAATCGCTAGTCGCGAACCACATTCGTCCCGCAACGAAGCGACAGATTTGTATTTTTCTCGCGTTCATCTTTTCGATTTCTTTCCGTATCGACGACTATCAACTTTATCCTCGTCGTATGCCGCGGATCGTTTTCTCTTTGCGTGGCAGTCCGAACCTTTGACTCTATTCCGCGTTTCTCTATCTTCGCGATGAGGTCTCTGGCCTTTCGATTTACTTTTAAACGCACTTTCTGTCTTTTCATAATCGGTCTTTGTCTTGTTCATCCTTGGACGACGATACGTAAAATCATGCTTCGAGTCGGAACACGGTTTCTCTCCTTTCCGTCGCCTTTTATCAGATCTCGATTTGCACGAGGCATTACTCGAAACTTTATCAACGCCGTTTATCCTTCTACGATGTCCGCTAGGACTCGAATCATCGCTGCTAGTATCGCTGTCGCTGTCACTGCCACTGCTGCTACTACTGCTGCTGCTGCTGCTGCTACTACTACTACTGCTGCTGCTGCTGCTGCTGCTGCTGCTGCTGCTACCGCTACTAATACTGCAACTATCATCGCTGAGAGCACCATCATTCCTCTTATGTTGAACTCGCTTCTTTTTCAGTTTCTTCTTCTCCTTCTTCTTCTTCGTCGTCATCTTTTTGGCCCTTCTCTCGAGTCGTTCCAGTTTCCTAGAATCATTCGTCGTATATAAATCAACATCGATCGATTTCGTAGAATCACAACGACGATCGCCGTATGAACGCTTACTTCAACAATTTCACCTTATCCCGTTTAGAGAGAGCTTTTAAGTACTTCATTTCAGATTGTTCCTCGTCATCGGATACCATGAGATGTTCGTGCTCTGGAACTCTGAGATGCTGTTGAGCACTGAGCGCGGATCTGTGAATAAAATTGAAGACCGTTACATGGATGAAATGGGAAAAGAGAGAAACGAAAGAGCGTATCCTCTGTAAACTGAAGAGTAGTAGAGGCAAAAGAAATGCTGCTCACTTTTTAAGAGCCAATCCGTCTTCTCTCATCTGTCGAACCAGCGTTAAAGCATCCGGCGTACAAGGGGTCTGCGAACCATTCGCGAGTACCACGCTCATAGCTTGACTGTACAAGGGACATTCCTTATCTGAAATGCAAGCAGGAACTCGTTCGGGGAACACGTTTGATAATATTCTATTCTACCCACTGATTACGCGTTGGTCACACAAACCTGTATTTATATGGCCCCATTTATGACATTTGATGCATCGGACATTACGCACTTGGATACCAAACGGCTGATCTCTTATCTCGCTATCTCCTTTACAGTAACTTTCTCTCGGTGCATTATACTTGCGTTGCCATTCGAATTTATATTCTGGTTCATTGTCCTCTTTTTCTCTTTCTTTCTTCGCGCCAGGTGGTGGTTCGTACATAAAATTCACGCTGAGCTTGTCCTTGCTCTCTTTACTCAACAAAGCTCTATGAAACAATGAACGAAAATTTTATCAGCACTGTACTTAGATCGTGGAAGAAACTTGGTAGTTAACAGCCCGTCGCGTAAACCCATCGTTCGACGACTCACTTGTTATTGTGCAGATCTTGTTCCTTCTCGTACTGTACGCGTAATTCTTCTTGCTTCTTCTTATAAGCCTCCGCTTGCTGTTCGGCCATCCATACCTGGAACAAACAAAGGAGAAAGGAAAAATACACACGACCGTTCATACAACCTAAAAACAGCTACGAGGTACGATTTAAAGCATACTCGTTTCAAATTGTCGCGAGAAGCCGGATGGAAAAACTTTTTGCACATGTAATTATTGAATCCTTTCCCCATCTCGTACGATTCGATTCGGACGTGCCGACGACCAACAACAGTCACAACAAGCACAAGTCCAAACAAGTCTGCAACAGTCTGCAAATCTTACGCAGTGTTACGCACAGTTACGCAGCTTGAGAATTGGGACACGAAAACCAAAAACTGCACGCACCACGGAAACTGATGATCGAGCTCGGGCTTGCACACAGGCTTCGCAGTCGTGAACGCTAGATGGCGCCACGAGCAACCCCAAATTCATTTGAGGTATATGAAACAGAGACTGGAAGGATGGGATAGACAGGGATAGCAAATGCACTTAAGACGGTCTTAAAAATAAGCAACGACTCTGAATATCGACCAAAGAGCTAATATGTGAAGAAAATATTAAGACCATAACATCAGCATCTGACGATAAATGTCGGACAGTATGTAGCCAATCTGCTGCCAAATTGCCGTAATTCTCTGATGTCAGGGATTGGCGCATTCTGCTGACGATCTGCCGTCAGACAGGGATGAGATAATTTTTCCCTCGGCCGGAAAGTGGGGACGACGCGACCATAGTGGGGACTGGTACGTGACGGAGGTATACTAGGCATGGTCAGCGAAGCAGGGGTCGGATCATTTCAGAGTTCAGCTGACGGCCCGTTTTCTCTAGATTTAAGTAGCTAATACATAGATGGGCAGCAGTCGCTTCGCGCTACGCTAGCCGCTTGCATTGGCGTCGCAAAATTATACATGACGATGTAATAAAGACGCGCGCGAATCCGACACACATGACTCAATATTACGACTGATTTATTACGCCCCTAAAAAATTGCATTTTATACAGAACACGCAATTTTATGCATATGTTGATGAAAATAAATTTTGTTAACCTT